AAGAAATGAGCATCCAGCAGGGCTTTAGAATGGTTATGTATTTACTTCCCTAGGGAGAACAATAAATCAGGTGTTTACAGACAAGCCGACCATACAGCTGGGGAATCACTGAAGTGAAGGTTCTCTAGGAGGGAGTGAGTTAAAAAGCAAACCTAAGTGCTTAAATCTTAACTCCACAAAGGAAAAAACAAAGTTACATGTTCATTTCCTTAAATTGGTAATTTCGCGGTAAGAATAATTGCCACTTATTGTTTGCAGGTACAAACAACGATTGATTACCTTCTCTGACAGCTTAAGGGATTCCAAATTAAGGGAACACTGCTTGTGCCACGCCCTGTTCTCGGTCTAGGACCCGGAATGAAGCGCTACGGGCATTCAGTGATTTTTAGCCTCTTTTTTCTCCAAAGATTGTTTTGAGCTGCAAAATATTGATTGTACACGAATGCTCTCGCAAGATGTCCTCGACCTTGCTTGGACCCAACCCAAGTCAACTCTCTCAACCAGAACCACCCAACCTCCTTCCACGCCTGGGAATTGCGGCCGAGCACCGGAAACCAGGAGCGGACGGTCACAGAACTGCAGGGACGGCGTGGACGTGGCCCGAAGCCAACATGGCGGCCACGACGTCACTTGCCCTGAGCCTAGGTCAGCGGTCAACTACGGTGGCCGGTGCGGACCTTATGCCATAATAATGGATTTGCGTTTGGTTCATGACAAGGCGAGGAGAGATCCAGTGGAAACCCGAAGGCGGAAGATGACCACAAGAGGAGGGCTCCCCTAGCTGGCCAGAGTTGGATAAGGAGACTGAACAATGCCATTCATTCAATAAGGAGCATTTGCGAACTTCTGCCAGTTGCAGCTGTGCTATAAGGAAACTTCTGATTCTGGCAGTAGATTGCACTGAATGAGACTGATAGTTCCTAAATCCTTACCGATCACAAGGCTCTGTGCTGAGTTCTCTGGAAAGATGGTAGCCAGCCACGGTACCTGCAATCCAGTGGAAGCGCATAAGGGCCACCTAGCAGACACAAGAAGTACAGTCATTCCTTCATATCTGAGGTGAATTTGTTTGAGGATCCCAGTGGATAATAAAATCCAGGAATGCTCCAGTCCCTTAAATAAAATGGTGTACTATTTGCGTATAACCTATGTACCTCGTCCCATATACTTTGCCATCTCTAGATTACTTGTATTTACCTAATGCAATTTAAATGCCACGCAAAAAAGTTTTTTTTTTAACGTATGCTTATGGAATAATGATAAGGGGTAAATCAAGTATTAATTAAAAAAAAAAAATCCCTCCATAGTTGGTTGAATCAGACAGATGCAGAACCTTAAGTAGGTTCCTACTGTACTGTCAAGTACAATGCCTGTGGTGGGCAGATAAGGAGAGAATGTTCCTGGGAACAAGATAATGCTTCCCTACCAGCAGGTAGAGACTGAGAGGGGCTGGTACAGAGGGTGGTGCAGTAGCCCTGCAGCTGTGTTCCTTTCTCCCATTTCCCATTTCCTGTGGTCTTCATGGTCTTCACTAGTATCAGGAGGGTTGTCCTTACTTTGGGAAAAGAGCAATGAAGATTCTTGCTTTCTGGCCTCAGCATGGGTCTTAGACATCTCAGTTATTTCTGAATAGTTCTTGGAAATTAAAAAACATGCAAACAATTAATAACATGCATTGTGCTATAGGGAAGACTGCCCCTATATTGACTACTGGTTTAAGGTGTATCTGTCACCCTCAGTGCCATAACCAACTCCAGGCAGGCCATTCAACAATTCTTTTAAGCCAGATGCTTCTGAGTAATGAGTTATGTATCAGTCTATTATTGGCACAATTAAGTTGTATAACAAAATGTCCCCAAACTCAGAGGTCTAACACAGCAATCATTTATTCTCACTCATGCATCTAGAATTCAACTGATCCGGACTGAGTTCACTTGGCTGGTTTCCACACTGCAAACTGGGTCCATATCTTCTCCAAATATCTCTCTCCTCCCTTGCACCAACAGTCCAGTCAGAAATGTTCTGGTAACAGTAGAAGCAAGAAAACAAGATCAACAAAACAATCCCATTTAAAACCCTTGCTTTGTGTCATATTTAGTAATATCCACATGACTAAAATCAACATACATGGAGTATGGAAGTATATTTTTTTATGTAGAAAAGGAAAATATATGTGAATATTTTAACCGATAAGTATTTTAACACAGAGAACATGATTATACTATTGAATGCCATAGATATGAGCTGTCACACTTCTTCACTGAAAATATGTCCCTTGGTTAGAGGAGACATTGGGTACCTTGGAGATGGATATAGAATTCTATATCCATCTCCATATAGAATTAGAAGTCCACAGATGTTGGTGCTGTGGCTACACTTGAAGGCACTTCACTGTCTCCTCCAGGGTCCAGAGTAATTTACCTGCCTTCAAGTAGCCAACTGGTCTGCCTGAAGAATGTTACCCTATTAGATCATCAGGGCAGTAGCCATCAAGATGAGCCATAATGAGGAATAGTCCATGAGGTTGGCCTAAATTCATGAAGGGTACTTCAGATGACAGTCTCTTGGTGCCTCCTGGCAAGACTTGTGGCCTTCAGGTGAGGATGCAGCCAGTCTGCCATGAGGGAGCTGGGGGATAAGTACCCCAATATTGTTCCCCTCCATCTATGCTCTAGTATTTTTCCTATTGATGGTACCAAGCCAGGAGCCACAGAGTAAGGGAAACTTTGATGTAGTCCTCATAAGCTACCTCTAGAGGCTCAGAGCAGAATAGAGAGGGGAAATTCATTGGCTGGGTTATAGCAGGCAGCTCCTTTGTATGCAACTGTGTTATACCAGGGTTGTGTCCAGTACAATATGGCAGAAAAGTCAAAACATCGCTTGATGAATTAGATTATAAAAGGCAGTGCAGCTTCAGTTTTGGTCACTGTGGTAGGCAGCTTTCTAAGAGGGGACCCATGATTCCTGCTTCCTAGTATTCATGTCCTGGGATAATATTGTCCCTCTGAGTATCAATTGGACTAAGATTCAATTCTTTTTTTCTTTTTTCACCTTTATTTTATTTATTTATTTTTAATTAATTTATTTATTTTAATTTGTCTTCTTTTGATATATATGACAACAGGATGCATTTTGATTCATTGTATACAATTGCAGCACAACTTTTCATTTCAGTGGTTGTACACGATGTAGCATCACACCATATATGTAGTCATACATGTACCTAAGGTAGATGTCCATCTCATTCTACCATCTTTCCTGCCTTCATGCACCCTCCCCATCCTCCCTCCCCTTTGCCTAATCACAGTTAGTTCCTCCATTTTCCCCATGCCTCCCATTATGGATTACCTCCACTTATCAGAGAGAACATTTGGTCTTTGGTTTTTTGGGATTGGCTTACTTCACTTAGCATGATAGTCTCCAACTCCATCCATTTACCTGAAAGTGCCATAATTTTATTCTATTTTAATGCTGAGTAATATTCCATTGTGTATATATATCACAGTTTCTTTATGCATTCATTTATTGAGGGACATCTAGGTTGCTTCCACAGTTTAGCTATTGTGAATTGAGCTGCTATAAACATTGATGTAGCTACATTACTAGAGTATGCTGATTTTAAGTCCTTTGGGTATAGACCAAGGAGTGGGATAGCTGGATCTGATGGTGGCTCTATTCCAAGTTTTCTAAGGATCTCCATACTGCTTTCCAGATTGGTTGCACCAATTTGCAGTCCCACCAACAATGTATGAATGTGCCTTTTCCCTCACATGAATCAATTTATGGCAAAAGTGATGGGATGTCACTTCTGAGATTAGGTTACAAAAGACTGACTTCCTTCTTGCTTGCTCACTCTGAGGAAGCAAACCCTATGAAGAGACCCATGTGACAAGGAGCTAAAGAAGACCTCTGGCCAACACCCATTCAGGCTAATGTGGAAAAGAGTCTCCACCACAATCTTAAATTAAGCTGACTGAAGCCCCAGCTGGCACTGTTACAGGACAGATTACAGTATGATTAATGAGAGCCTCTGAACCCCCAGCTAACCTGCTTCCAAATTCCTGAACATTAGAAACTGTGTGAGTTAATACCTTTATTGGAAGCTGCTGAGATTTGGGGTAATTTGCTTTAGATAGCATACATGCGTGAAAGAAAGTGAAAGTTCATGAACTATCTCTACCAAAAGAAGACAAATATATTTTTAAAAGTATTTGGCTAGTATTTTTGATAGGCCCTGAACCTACGATATGTGGAGCCATTTTTAGAGTTCTTTTCAAACAATTTTTTTTTTCCTTTGTCTCAAGGGTGAACTCCAGAATTCCACTAAGTTGAGAATAATGATAGCTACCCTTTGTTTAGTTCCTATTGCATTCTGGGGAGTTGGTGAACTTGCATTATGGTTCACAAACAGGGAACCTGAAGCTCAGACAGGTTGGTACTCTATCTTAAGACCCCCAGTAAAAGGAAGAACGAGGTATGTATTCTGAAGCCCTATGTCTTCCCACTACATTATTATGGATTCCTTAATAGTGATCCTTATAATTTAAATTAAAATACACCATAGTTCTTGTCTTAATTGCAGAGGTTCATTCAATCTTTGAAATTAAAAAGTTAAAGTAGATTTCGCGTGAGAGAGAGACAATTTTTCTTGATCTCCACCAGGAAGGGGCCAGAACTCTGGATGGGCCCAGGACCCGCTCACCCTCCCCTGATTTACTGACAAGAATTCAGCCAGCATTCCAGCATCTAGGACTCTGAACAAAATCTTTGTTCTGGTTTCCAATAGAGCCCAGCGCAGCTACAGATAGGCGAAGAAGTGAACCACGGGACCCAATTGAAACCACGGCTGGTTCTCAGGGAGGCAGGGGAAGGGCTGGGCAGCTTCGGACCGGAAGTTATCTTTGCCCTGACAAAAAATGGCGGCCGTGGCGCCTCTCGCCCACCTGCCGTAGCCAATGGAACCCCGACGCTCGACTGACTCACACCTGCGACCTGCGGCACTACGTTGCATGATGCAACTCTGGAGTCAAGGAAGCCTTTCGCGCACGTTGGGGTGACTGGGCGGTGGCGGTGTTGGGACCATGTCCTTGGAAGTGACCAGGGCGACTGCAGGGATGGTGCTAGGTGAGTGAGGGGCGGTGTGTGGCGCCAGGCTCCCTGCTTGGCGAGGAATGCCAGGGCTGACTTTAGTGCCTGGCGCAGGGTGGCCGCTCCTCAAATAATTACGGAACGACTGGAGGGAAGGAGGGAGGGAAGATGGGGCCTGCACCCTCGCTGGACCGGGACGCGTTGGGCCGGACCGCGCACCCCCGGGCCCTGTGTGCCCCGGGGTTGCCGTGGCGGCGGCGGCCGGCGCTGCAGCGCCACTAAAATCCCGAGATTCCAGTGAGACCTCGGCGCTGTGAGAGGCTCAGACATAATGAGGTTCCCAGATAGAAATTTTTCCAAGGGGATCTTCAGGAAAGGAGTAAGAATTTTAATTCCCTTCCCAATAGCCCCATGTACTGAGATTTCTAATAAGAAAAAGGGGAGGGGTGATCTGGGATGTCGCTAATGTCTCAAGGAGGCTTCTACCTTATGCATTTTGTATAACTTCGGAGTTTCCATTTCTTTGAAAGACCATAGTGGACTGCTGTGCTTTTTGATTTTTTTCCCCATCTGCATATCAATACTGGGATGTTTATTTCGCCCTCAGTACAGCCCCAGGGAGATAGATGTCGTTTTTTCTCATTTTATAGAGTTAGAAGTTGAGAAAGGTTAAGTAAATTCCCCAAAGTAACTCTGGCTTTTAAGGTACAATGTCCAAGATCCAGTCTAAGTTTGGCCAACTTCAAAGCCTTTGCTTTATTACTCAGGTAAATGGAAGTAGTATCACAAGTTAAAATGACCCAAAGTTTCATTTTGAAAAGGTAAATTTGTAACACGTTTTTAGGAGGCAAATATCCTTGAAATAGGTGTTGGAGAATAATTGTGATATTAATTTCTTTCTGACTGTTAAGTTTTGCCAGTCATGTGCTTGTTCTGTTTAAAGAATTGAAAGATGAATGAAGTAGTTACATAGTCAAGTGGCAAGGTTATTGGCCAAGCAAATAACTTACTCTCCTTTTATAAAACAGCAGAGCTGTATGTCTCAGATCGAGAGGGAAATGATGCCACTGGAGATGGAACCAAAGAGAAGCCATTTAAAACAGGCCTAAAGGTAGAGTCTCTTCTCATTAGGAAAATAACTCTTCATTTGTTAGTGGCTTATATAAATGATTATGTGACTTGCCAAGAATTTACTTCAAGCTCTAGGTTGTTTTGTGAGATAGAGTTTGTAAATCATCTTCATTGCTGTAACCAAAATACCTAACATAAACAATTTCAAGGAGGAAAGATTTATTTTTGGCTCACTGTTTCTCAAAGACTTTTTATTTTTAACTTTTTAATTTTTTTGCAGTGATGGGATCCAACCCAAGGGCTCACACTTGCCAGGCAAGCACCTTACCACTGAGCCACATCCCCAGCACTTGTAGAAGTTTAGTTCATGGTCAGTTGACTTCATTGCTTTGAGACTGATATGAGGCAGAACATCATTGAGGAAAGCATAGGAAAGCCACTTAGCTTATGGCAGCCAGAAAACAGGGAGAGGAAGGGACCATGAACAAGATTAGTCCCCAAGGGCCCACTCTAAGGACCCATTTTATCAAATAAGGTTCCACCTCCTACATTTTCCACAACTTCCCGATAGTCCATTCAAATTATGAATCCATCAGTGGATTAATCCAGTGATGAAGTCAGAACTCTCTTGTCCAGTCACGTTCCGAAAGCTCCACCTCTGAAAATCGCTGCATAGGGGACCAAGCCTTCGACACACAAACCTTTGGGACATTCCAGTTCTAAATCATAACAGGGTCTCACTATGTTGCCCAGCCTGGCCCTGGGATCAAGATGACCTGCTTCAGCCTCCCAAGTTTCTGAGACTGTAGGTACATGCCACTATGTCTCACTAAAGCATCAGGTTTTGAAGGGATTTTTTCAAAAGAGGGAAAATATGGTAGAACGTATACAGATATGTGTCTTTAAAAGTGTTAGATAATCAAGGCCAGGTATGGTGGCACATGCCTGTAATCCCAGCTACTCAGGATACTGAGGTAGGAAGATGGCAAGTTCAAGGCTAGCCTTGTCAATTTAGCAAGACCCTATCTTAAAATGTACGAAGGGCTGGTGGTATAGATCAGTGCTAGACACCCCCTGGGTTCAGTCCCTGGCACTGCAAAACAAAAGTGTTAGATGATCAAAGCCTAAATTCTTTTTTTTTTTTAACATTTATTTTTTAGTTATAGGTGGACACAATATCTTTATCTTATATTTATGTGGTGCTGAGAATCGAACCCAGTGCCTCACGCATGTTAAGTGAGTGCTCTACCTCTGAGCCACAACCCCAGACCCAAAGCCTAAATTCTTTTGAACATTTAAAATAAGTTTCTTCCTTTCTTTTTTTTATCCACAAGGCATTGCATATTGGAAGTTTTCCCTCTAACAACTCAGGTTGCCACTTTTTCTAAGAATGAGAAACACCTTTCCTCAGTCACACTGAGCTCATATCCGGATGGCTTTTTGGTGAATTTTCCACAGTCCTGACTATTATCTGGAGCCTTGAGATTCAAAGCCCTGATTTATATAAACACTAAGAATGGACTCATTTCTCAGAGCAGCCTTGTAGATCTGAAGTTTGAAAATGGATTACCAGTTTATTGACCTTTTAGATTCTAGGTCTAGAATCTTGCCATGCATTTGGCACATTCTCTCTAAGCAGATTTTTTGGAAAGCCAAATAGTGTCAAAGTGGTTCTTCAAGAGCTAGGACTCAGGTATGCATATTAGGTAACTAATAGCATCAGGTTAAGGTGTGATCCGAAACATCCCTCTTAGATCATCATGTACATGTCTGTTCAGTGGAAAGCTAGGATCTGTCACCTACAACTGCCACATAATGGAAATGGTTAAACACTTGCCCCTTGGGCAAGCACTGTACATTCATACTGGGCCAATTCCCCTTCTTGTTAACTGTATTACGTTTAGTTGTTATCAGATTCTCCTAGCTTGGAAGCATTCTCTGTTAGACCATTTGGTAATGCTTTAGTGTGTCACATATGGGTCTTGCTTTTTAATTCTTAGAAATCTTTCTTTCCTTTCTGGGTTATTGGGGTGTTTCCTGGTGGTTTCCCCAAACTGAAAACACTTGTTTAGGTAAACCTCATGACATCATTAGCAAATTGTGCCATTCTGATTTGGGGAATAACAATTTGGCCCTTTAATTTTCATTGATATAAAAAGAGGGAACAGTACAGACTATCTGGTGTGAGTGAAGTCTGGATGATCCACAAATGCAGTCTTGTACTGTTTAATCACTGGGATAGAGTGTATTTAACACACTAAGATAGTCATGATGACACGTGGCAGCATGATCTTTTGGGACCACAGTTGGAGGATGGCTCATTATTGACTAGAACATCATTATGTAGCACATGACTGTATTCCTGTTAACTTCTGTTAAAAAGATGGACTTTCATCTATGTTTTCAAAAGATCCAAGTTCCTTTCTACTCTGCAGCAGTCATTGTTTTGGGACTAATGTCCATTTAGAAAAGGTCAGTTTTTTAAGTTTCAGATCTTGCCATCAGGGAATAATTCATTGTATTTCCTGTTTGACTTATTGAGAAATTTTGAAAGAATAAATGAAGCAGTTTGTAAAATATTCATTTTTATATTCAGTTAACTATTTAAAAACTATCACATAAAATGATGTATAACAAATTAGTCTACATGCAGGAATTTTTTAGCCATTTGTGAACTTCGTCATTATGTTGTTATTTTATTGAAAGAATTTTAAAAATCTCTTACCTGATTCTCTGATTTCTTGCAGAGCACTAACCTTGTAGGTGTCATCTGCAGTTGGTTTTTGCTCTTGGCTGTCTTTTTTTTTTTTTTATTTTATTTTTTTTTAAGTCATACATGACAGCCGAATGTATTTTGACATATAAAACATACATGGAATGTACATACATCAATCATATTGTCTATTCTATTCTGCTGCCCTTCCTATCTTCCCTACTCCTCCCCTCGTCTCCCATCATTTCTCTCTATCCAATCTAATTGACACACTTTTTTTTTCTTTTTCTCATTACAACATCATATATGTATTCTGTATAACAGTGAGGTTCTTCTATCTTCCATGCAACTCCCCTTCTCCCTCTTTTTCCCTCCCACCTCTCTTCCCTATTTAGTGGTAGTCTTCTTCTCATGCTCTTCCTCCCTATCCCATTTTGAGTTACCCCCCTTATATCAGAGAAGACATTCGGCATTTATTTTTAGGGATTGGCTAACTTCACTTAGCATAATCTGCTCTAATGCCATCCATTTGCCTGCAAATGTCTTGGCTGTCTTTTCTCTTGTCAGCATACCTGTGTTGGTCCCCATAGCCACTGCAGATCTTCTGCTTGTACCGGGGAGCTGTGTGCTGCCAACTGAGCTTGCTGGGATTGTTTGTGGAAGGACTTAATGGCTTCTACTAGAGCAAAGTGCTTCTTAGTGCATTCAGCTAGTTGCTGTTATGTCAGCTTTCAGCTCTTGGGATCTTTGTGCTGTCTTGACTCTTGAATATGTTATAGATTGTTAAAGTTGTCTCATAATTGAGGGGTTATTTTAAATATTGTGCAACATTAAAGAAATTCATTTTTTTCTCTTTCTCTATTTCAGGCTTTGATGACAGTTGGAAAAGAACCATTTCCTACCATTTATGTAGATTCACAAAAAGAAAATGAGGTAGGATGAATCAAAAACTTTAGTTATATTTTGTGAATAAGTTTTCATCAAGACATAGAGGTCTTGAAAAAAATAACGTATCTCTTTTTTTTTCTAGAGGTGGGACATTATTTCTAAATCACAGATGAAGAACATTAGGAAAATGTGGCATAGGGAACAAATGAAGAGTGAATCCCGAGAGAAGAAAGAGGTGATTAATAAAGTTGCCGCTGTGTGCATTGTATTTATTTTTTATTGTATTTGGAGATAGGATCTTTATATTTTATTTTCTTATCATTGCATTACAATTATGGATAATAGGTTGATTATGGCGTATTCATACAGGCACATAACAATCTGATCATTCTCCTTCCCCAGTGCCTTCCCTTTCCTCCCCTTCTTCCTCCCCAGTCAGCTTGCTGTACTCCACTGATCTCCCTTCCGTTATCACTGTGTACATTTTTAAAGCAAACATTCTGGAAACCATTTTAACCAGTTGCTTTATTTTTAAAATTAGGCAGAAGATAATTTGCGAAGAGAAAAGAACCTCGAAGAAGCAAAGAAGATTACCATTAAAAATGATCCAAGTCTGCCAGAGCCACAGTGTGTAAGTGTGTATGTCATTTCCAGTGTCATGGACTTAGCAACTTTATATCATTATTTCTGGGTTTGAGGGGCATGACACATTTGTTCCTTCACATTGTTTGTCTTTCCTTTTAGAAAGGATGGGGAGAATGTTTTAGAATTATAAGACGGGTTCATTTTAATATAGAGTTTAGTAATTACATGTTGAACAAATTCTGTGCTGTGTGGTATTGGTCAAATGATTTTACCTTCTCTAGTATCAGTTTCTTCACCATCAAATATAGAGGTGGATTTTTTTTTTTTTTTAAATATACTGCATCCAGGCCCTCTCACATGCTAGGAAAAGCACTGTATCACTGAGGTTCATCCTCAACCTGAAAATCCATGAATTTTTAAACAGATAAAAAGTATTTGTGGGGGCTGGGCTGGGGCTCAGTGGTAGCACACTTGCCTGACATGTGTGAGGCATGGGGTTCAATTCTCAGCACCATATAAAAATAAATAAATAACATAAAAAGGTCTGTCAACAACTTAAAAAAAAAGTGTTTGTGATTCTGTGAAATTGTGTTCACTCTTCTGGTTCCCCTATTCTTTCTGGAACCCAGATTGTTGGATTATGAATGGACATGCTGAATTCTCCTACTTCCTAACCGATGGAATTGTTTCTTTTACCATATTAACCATTTTCATCCTTTACTCATCTCTCTCCTTCATCTTTCAAACAAAAAGCCTTGGTTAGTTTCAAGTCCCAGCACCGGAAAAGGCACTGGTAGGCTAGGATTGTTGCAATACTGGGAATCAGGTGCTCCACTTAGGAAAAAGTGAATTCACTTATTACCTGATTTTCTGTAGCAATGAAATCTTTTTGTGTGTCTTTATTTTCATATTTGCCCTAAAGTGTTAAAACAGTCACAAATAATGCAAAATTAGAGCGAGTCACGCTACTACAGTTTGAACCCAAATATTTCACCATGTTGGGATGGTGAAAGAAAAAAATCCAAGTATTTTTTTAGTGTCCACTTAGTATTAGTGGAAATGTTGGTATGTGATAAATGACATGATCAAATATTATTTATTTTCATTTGACAGGTGAAGATTCATGCATTAGAAGGATATAGAGGCCAGAGAGTGAAGGTTTTTGGCTGGGTCCATAGGCTGCGTAGGCAAGGTAAATGATATTACTTTTCTTATTCTCTTTTGAATTTTAAATAATACCTGATCTCAGATGAAGAACATAAAAATATTTACTTGGGTTTGTTTAGAGATCTTTTTCTTTTTCCTGGTGTGCTGACTTTTTAAAGGATGTAGTAATTTATAGCCTACTTTTTTTACGAATTACTGCTGCCATTGAAAGTTTAAATATTACTTAAATGTTATTTTAACTGTTAGCAACCATAGTGATCAGGAGGTAGCCAGTAAATTTTTGTTCAATTGAATTTTGATATTTAATGAAAAACAGGAAATATGTTCTAGGAAAGTCAGATCCTATTCTGAAATTTGGCAGTAGGTTTACTTTTATAACTAGTATCTTTGCATTCTGTTTCTCCTTTCGTCCTGATGTTTTGTTTTCTCTTTCTGTTATTTTATAACTTGTATTTTTTAATATCATGATCAAACCTTTCATAAAAATAAATTGGGCATGAATCTAAATTTCTCTTAAGCAACATGCACTTCCCACTGAGTACACAGGGTGAATAAGTTATAATCCCTTAGCTTATTTTCTACCATCTTGTTATTCCATGGTGATGTGGATAATGATAATCACATAATATTTAAAGGTATAGTGCAGTGAAAATAAAATGCTTTATAAATAAAGGGGCATGTTACTGGTGTGTATTTCAAAGGAAATGGGCTATATGGAAGGATTGAACTTCCAGTACTTAATCTTGATGTTTCTAAGATGTAAGATCAAATTATGAAAAAGTACTTTCTAGTCTCTAGTCTGGCTAAATTTCTGTATTTCGTTTTAGGAAAGAATTTAATGTTCCTGGTGTTGCGGGATGGTACGGGTTATCTTCAGTGTGTCTTGTCGGATGAGTTGGTACATTTTTTTTTTTTTAAATTAATGACGGAAAATTAGATTTTTTTCTAGGTGGTTCCTTTATTGTTATTTTTGGGGATTTTAGGATTTATGTACATATTTTAAACTATTATTTTCACAATGGATACGTTTGTCAAAACATCACATACATCATTAAAAGAAAAAAATTATTTGTTAATTGTAATTTAATAAGCTGGGGGGTGAATTTTGTAATGTAAAATTACCAACACGTTAAAAAAAAAAAAAAAATAGATCAACCTAAGTAACCCCATCACCAGCTTTAGTAACTACCAAAAACTGGTAGCTAATCCTGGTATGATATTGCTCCCTCAGACTTTTTTTTTTTTATTCATATATGCCTCTGTAATCATGTCTAAGAAAAAAATACTGTTTTTAGGTAGTTACCATTATCATCTCCCCCTAAATTACCACAACTTCTAAATGTTATCCAATATCCTATCAGATTCTCCCAATCGATTTAATAATGACATTATAGTTGGTCGATTTCAGAATCCAAACAAGATCTCCATCTTATATCTGGTTGATATGACTCTAAAAAATCTCTCTTTTATCTATAACAGTGCCCTCATTTTCATTCTCCTCTTTTCTTCCCCAATTTATTTGTTGGGAAAAACGTGACAAATTGTCCCTTCGAACTTCTCACATTTTGGATTTGGTTGATTGCATCCTGTGGTATCATTTAATATATTCCTTTGCTTTCTGTATATTTTATGGGGGGAGGTCTGATTAAGTTAAAAAGTGCCCAGCCTGACCTTGAACTTGCAGTCCCCTTGCCTCAGTTTCCTGGGATCATAGGCATGACCCACCATGCCTGCTTTCCCCATCACTTTTCTCCTAGTAACTCTAGCAAGTATTGATCATCATAGTATATATGGTGTTTTTTTGTGGATTTTTTTTTTTTTTTTTAATTTAACGATAGGGTCTCACTAAATTGCTGAGGCTGGCTTTGAATTTGCAATCCTCCTGCCTCAGGGCACCCACCACCCCCTGCAAGTTCCTAGAATTACAGGCATGTGCTACTGTGCCCAGCTTGCTTTTGTGTGTTTATTTTTTGCAGGGATACTCTACCACAGAGCTACATTCCCAACCAACTTTTTTTTTTTTTTTTTTTTTGGTACCAGGGATTGAACTCAGAGGCACTCACATCCTCAGCCCTATTTTGTATTTTATTTAGAGACAAAGTCTCACTGAGTTGCTTAGCACCTTGCTTTTGCTGAGGCTGGCTTTGAACTCTCGATCTTCCTGTCTCAGCCTCCCAAGCCGCTGGGATTACAGGTGTGCACCACCATGCCTGGCTTTTTAAATTTTGAGAAAGTTTTGCTAAATTGCTGAGGCTGGCCTTGAACTTGGAATCCTTCTGCCTCAGTCTCAAGGCATTTGGATTACAGGTGTGCCCTATTGCACCTGGTAGCCTGTTTATTGTTTGAATAGTCAGGATTTGAAGAAAATTAAAAAAAGAACTGTAATATATTTTTAAGAAATGTGGACGCTATGACATCAGGTAATAAGATCTTTTTTTTTTTTTTGTGGTGCTGGGGATTGAACCCAGGGTCTTGTGCAAGGTGATAAGATCTTGCAGGGCAAACACTGTGTATGTTGTTCATTGTTGATAGAAACATTATTTGGCATGTGGCTTTGTTGCAAGTTTAAGTTAAAATTTGCCCAGCCTGACCTTGAATAAAGAGCTATTCTTTATTCAGATTTAAAAAATCAATGGCAGTCTTATTTCCTTTTTACCAGTATTTGACCATATAACTTGGTCATAAATAATCCTCTTAACTTTATATTTTAGAATATTTCTATTCATATGACTTGTTTGTAAGTAATCCTTTTAATTGTATATTTTAGTGTATTTAATATCCATTCGAATAACTTAATTTTGAACTTTGATCTTTTTACAGTGTCAGTGTTACAATGGAGTAGTTTTGTCTACTGAGAGTAGTGTTGCTGTATATGGAATGCTAAATCTTACTCCAAAGGGCAAGCAGGTAAGTAGATTAAACTGTTCTCACTGGTTGAGTGAATAGGTGTCTTTTTTGTACTTTGGGATTTGGCATGTAAGTAGCCAAATGTGAAGCACTTGTAAATTTAGTGTACCTTGTTTTTCCAATGAAATGTGTAAACTACATAATTTGTCTCAGTCTTTTTTCTGTTCCTATAATAGAAAACCACAAACTGCATAAGTTATAAAGAAAAAAATTATTTCTGGAGGCTGGGATGTCCAAGAGGGACTGCTTCTGGTGAGGGCCTTCTTGTAGTGTCATAACACGGTGGAAAGCCTCACATGGTCAGAGAACATATACCAGATAGAAATCAATATGGGGCTGAACTCACTTTCATAACTAAATCAATATGGGGCTGAACTCACTTTCATAACTAACAAGTAACCCACTTCTAAGATAATCCATCAGTGGATTAACGGCATTAATCCATTGATGTGGGCAGAGTCCTCATGACCTAAACACTTCCCATAGGCCCCACCTCCCAACACTGTTACAATGGTAATTAAATGCCATTGTGACTTTTGGAGGAAACAAACTTTATAACTTGGCACAACTTGTTTGATAAGAATAATTCAGAAATTTCCAACCTTACAGAATTCTGAAGTGATCTACACATGCTGTGGATGTATTCATAACTTTTCAACTAGACGAAAATAAAAACCTATCCCAAAATTTTCAGAAAAGAACAATAATCTAGGGGCTGGGGATGTGGCTCAAGCGGTAGTGCGTTTGCCTGGCATGCGTGCGGCCCAGGTTCGATCCTCAGCACCACATACAAACAAAGATGTTGTGTCCACCGAAAACTTAAAAATAAATATTAAAATTCTCTCTCTCTTTAAAAAAAAAAAAAAAAAAAAAAGAACAATAATCTAAACCTAAAACTTTCTGGTCAGAATTTGAAAGCCTGTTTTCAAAAAGTCGTATAATTGGGCTTAGGTTGTGGCTCAGTGGTAGAGCGCTTTCCTAGCATATGGAGAAGCACTGGGTTACATCCCAGCACCACATAAAAATAAACAAAATAAATAAAGGTACTGTGTCCATCTACAACTAAAAAATATATTTAAAAAAATATAAATAAATTTTAAAAAGTCATATAATTGATATTCAGAGAATTATTTGTTCTTTAGCCAAAGGGCACATAACCTATTTCAGTTACATTTACTTCTTGATAATTATAGTTCACATAATTACAGTTACCCTTTTTGATTAGGAAGGAAAACAGAAAGATGTAATATATTAACCACAAGAGGGAGCAAACAGTCCTACTAACTAGAAATGTTGGTAAGGTATGCCATGAAGTTCATACAAAAGAGCCTGCAATAAAAATGAATATCGAATTCAAGCTCATTGAGTTTTCTTAGAAGGGATGAGACTGTAAAATGAGGTAGTTGTCATGATGTTACTTGCTGTCCAGTGTTTGGCTCCAAGGTAATTGAAAATTTCATGATATGTGACTTTTAGAATGAATTACTTTAAATGAAATTATTAGGGAGAATTCTAATTTTTAATATGTATATTAAAAAGGTTAACCGTCTTTAGTAAAATGTTTCCATTTTAGGAATGTTTACATAGTTTCTTAGTCTGAAATAATATTTCATAATAATATTAAGTAGTTTTGTGTGTGTGTGTGTGTTAATAGAAATTTTGGTTTTGTTTTTAACTTTGCATTTAAGTTTTTCAGAGTGGATAAATATGTTAATTGTTATTAGGCAAAGGCTGGAAAGAGACACCAAATGTTAATAGTAGTTAATAGTTACTCAAGGTCATAAGATTATAATAGTTTATTTTCTGGTTTGTGCCTTTTCATTTAAAAAGAAAGTGTGGCTATGTGTGTGTGTATTTACTCTGAAGAAATAGTAAATGAAAAACTATCAATATAAAATTGAATTATTGAGTCTTTACTTTTAGAAGAAAATGTTACTAATGATGGAAGTTCTTAGAAATATCAGCTTACATTTACCTGCACGCCTGTATTCCCAGCTACTCAGGAGCCTGAAGCAGGAGAATTTCAAGTTCAAGGCTAGCAAGATCCTGTCTCAAAGTACAATTAAAAAAGGACAGTGGTAAAGGAAAAGGAAAATGAAACAAATCAGCTTACCAAAAATTTGGACATAAAGTAAAATACTGTTAATTTTTTGTTTCCTTCTCCTTCCCTGTTTCTTCCTTCTCTACCTTTTAAAAATGTAGGCTCCAGGGGGCCACGAGCTGAGTTGTGACTTCTGGGAACTTATGGGGTTGGCCCCTGCTGGAGGAGCAGATAACTTAATCAATGAAGAATCTGATGTCGATGTCCAGCTGAACAATAGGCATATGATGATCCGAGGAGAAAATATGTCCAAAATCCTAAAAGCACGTTCCATGATCACCAGATGCTTCAGAGATCACTTCTTTGATAGGGGGTACTGTGAAGTAAGTGTGTGATGGTCATCTTTTGCAGATAGTACCTCTTTGCCGTTTTGTGGCGAATAGTAGTGCTCAGGACAGACCTACATTTCCTCCTTCCATGCAAATAGGTTACTCCTCCAACGTTGGTGCAGACGCAGGTAGAAGGTGGTGCCACGCTCTTCAAGCTTGACTATTTCGGGGAAGAGGCATTTTTGACTCAGTCCTCTCAGTTGTACCTGGAGACCTGCCTTCCATCCTTGGGAGATGTTTTTTGTATTGCACAGTCATACAGAGCAGAACAATCCAGAACACGAAGGCACCTGGCTGAGTATGCAGTTGTCTTTTTGGTTTTATTTATATTTAGAAAATATCTTCAGAAAAGAAATCTCTGTGTTGGTAAATGATGTCTGTGTGAAAAAAAATCTGGTGGCTTATGAGGATAATGTAAGAACATGTTAAGTTTTGCCTCTTAGGCTACAGCTAAAATCTGTTTTTTCACTTTTCCTTGAGCTTTTACATGTTAAGGAAGAAAAAAGGAATCTCTACTTGAGGTAAAGAGGTATTGAAAACGCTAATTGCAGAGTTGAGAATTGGTTAGTAGTGTTGGAATTTTACCTTTCTGGATAGTTTCCGAGTGTTAAAATTTTTACTTGAGAAAAACTTAGTGTAAAAAAAGAAAAATAAAAAACTCTGAGTGTCTTGTCCTTCAGGTACACTCACGTGGAAGCTGAGTGCCCTTTCCTGACCTTTGAGGATCTCCTGAACAGATTGGAGGACTTGGTTTGTGATGTGGTAGATAGAGTCTTAAAATCACCAGCAGCAAGCATAGTGTATGACCTCAACCCGGTAGGTGAAGTGTTTTATGAAGGTAAACAAATCATAATCCTTTGTTGGAAGACAATGAGTCTTCCTGGATTTTTGTAGATTTTATACCTTGGCAAGCTGAAATAAGTGACTAATAATTTGAAGACAAAATTCAATAATAATCATTGTTAGTAATTTTATAATATTTTTAATGTGTAAACGGAGGTTCATACATGTTTCTATTTTAGGAATGTTTACATGGTTTCTTAGTCTGAAATAATATTTCATAATAATAAGTAGTTTTGTGTGTGTGTGTTAATAGAAATTTTGGTTTTGTTAGTTTCTTTATGTACTCCGTATTTTACTTTTCTCCTGTAGAACTTTAAACCCCCTAAACGGCCTTTCAAACGGATGAACTACTCAGATGCTATTGTGTGGCTAAAAGAACACAATGTAAAGAAAGAAGATGGGACTTTCTATGAATTTGGAGAAGTATGTATTCCTTTCTCATCGTTCTTTCTAAGGTAGTAGTGTGCTGAAGTGGATTGCAGTTGCTGCTAAATTAACTAGTAATGTGGAGGGAATCTGCTTGTCCTCAAATAAATGATAATAACAGAGCCTGCTTCTTGGATTGTCTGCGGGTTCATTGTAGAGTGAGCCTTAGAACAATGCCTTTTTTGTAGTACGCCACAAATAACTAGCAAGTTTTTAGCCTTCCTTCACATATCATCCTTTGTCTCCCCATGATCATTCCTCAGCCTCTATGTAAAAACTCTACTCATTATCCACTAGGCTGGCAGAAGTGTTCTAGAAAATTATGAAGCCTTTGAAATTAAATGCAATATGTTGGTATGTATATAAATTTGTTTTTCTGGCATTTCCAAAAGGGATTCATTCATTCCTTCCAAAGCAGATTTACAACTCCTTCCCATGGAAGGAGATTCAAACAGAAGAGAGCCCTTGTTTAAGATGCAAAACTGAGAGAGAAGGCCTTGGTGGACAAGCTTTCAGTACACAGGTTTAGCCTAGTAGTCTCCCTCCCAGCATGCCTTAGGAGTGTGGGTTGGCAACAGTGTTCCAGGCCTTAGTTTCCGTGTAATTGTCCTTACATAATATTTGCAGATCTAGTTGTTTCACAAGTGAAATGTGAGTAGCTGCTACCAACTAGTTTTGTTTTTATTTTTAGAAGGAATTTATACAGAGGATAAAGAGTATACTATCTCTATAAATCACCCTATCTTGGGACTTTGGTTTGTTATGTATAATAGCACAATTTTGAACTGAAAATCTTGAGTGATTTGTATACCTAGTGCTTAACAGCATTATTGAATAGAAAGAATACAAGCTGTAGAGTCAGAACATGTCCATCTCCTACGTGGGCTTAACTCTTGCCTCTGCTCTGATCTGTTGTACAGCTGAAGCCCATTGACCCCGTCTGATTTCTTCTCTCCTATGGAGGCAATGTCCTCTTGTCAAGGTTGTGGGAACTAAATAAGCTAAATGTCTAGCAGGGTCCCTGGCACAGGGATCATGTCAGCTTGTATTGTACATTGCTCTCATCACATACACACAAGGGCACTAGAATATATAAATGGTTTTCAGGCTTTTCAGGTGTGCAGTAAGACCCCACACCTCCTAACTTAATGTTACAAACAGATTCCCAGAATGAAAAGTAGCACAAGCTAAGAGACCAGCACTCTCCCGCTCATCTTATCCCCTTTGGCACCTCAGAGGGCCTGGGGCTCCAGCGACTGGAGCTGAAACAGCTATGCCAGGTGGTTGCTCGACTTTCTTTCTGATTTAATATTAAACAAACCAGTGAGTCTTGTTCAAATCTCAATCAGTTTTTAGAAGGATAAGAGTTTTCAATTTTAACTTGAAAACTCTGTGGTTTACTGAAGGATGTTTTAAGAGAAATAGTCACTTGGTTCATCATTTTTTTTCTTGGCTAACTATTCCAGATGTGATAGCATTTTAGGGGGTTGGGGGTACTGGGGATTAAACTCAGGGGCACTTAACCCCTGAGCCACATTACCAGCCCTGTTTTGTATTTAATTTAGAGACAGGGTCTCACTGAGTTGCTTAGTACCTCGCTTTTGCTGAGGCTGGCTTTGAATTTGCAATCCTCCTGCCTCAGCCTCCTGAGTTGCTGGGATCACAGGCAGCTGTGATAGCACTTATAAACTTTATATTGTTTGTCTTATGATGTTTTACTACTATTGAAGGTATAACTTTATAATAGGAAAGGAGTTCAGATAACAGGAGAATTTAAAGATTAGTGTCATCAATAATGTATTCTGTGGAGGTCAGTGGTGTTGTGGAGCATTGACAGATTACCTTCTACTTTATGAGATTAAGTAGACCATGACTTTAGAACTTGGTAAACTGGCCACTGAGAAAATAACTGAGCAGGATCTAGTCACAGCTTAGAGATTTTTGTTTGTTGGTGAGGCAGGATTTGTTCCTCAAGCTGAGACATACTAAAGGAGAAGGCACATCTTTTTATGGTTTATTTAATAATTGTGTGAATCTATAAAATGTTTATTTCTTTTTTGAAAGAAATTGCTTCTTATGTGGATGTGTATGGGTTGGGTTGGTGTTTATCTCCATTGTATTGTGTGCATAAGAGGAAGGCAAAGAGCTGCTTCTTTCTTGTTGCATTTCGAGTCGTAAATGTTAATGAAGTCTTTTTAACCTCAGGATATCCCAGAAGCTCCTGAGAGACTGATGACAGACACCATTAATGAACCAATCTTGCTGTGTCGATTTCCTGTGGAGATCAAGTCCTTCTACATGCAGCGATGTGCTGAGGATTCCCGCCTTACTGAATCTGTTAGTTTGTGATTCAGAGATTATTAGAATTATGGTTTTTAAGGGAGTGGGGACTGTCCTTTGGAATAAGGTACTACTTGGGGCAAATATTTTGTAAATCTAGAATGATAGTAATACTTGTGGTTCATTTCCTCTCCTGATTGGGGTTAACATGCTTCATCAGGGAATTTGAATAATATTTGAATTTTGCATGATTATTGTGCTTCTTTTAACTATAGGAGGTTAATTGTAGTTTTTATTCAAGCCTCACAGCAAAGCCATGTAATTGTGCATTTTATTTTTCCTCGTATTTAAAGGTTGACGTGTTGATGCCCAATGTTGGTGAGATTGTGGGAGGCTCAATGCGTATCTGGGATAGTGAAGAAATTCTGGCAGGTTATAAAAGGGAAGGGATTGACCCCACTCCTTATTACTGGTACACAGATCAGGTAAAAACAATTTTTTTAAAGTCTTTAATTTTTTTCATTGTAATAGTTCTGTATACACTGAAATTTTTGAAAGGAGAAAATTCCAAGTGGTACTTGGTGTTTGAATGAGTTATATTTGGTTTCATGGTATAATAATGTTGCATGTGAATGTTGCCATTTTTGTCTTTTACCAAGTTATATGTTAATTTTCATTTGAAAATACATTAATTTCCATTTGGAAATGGCCTTGCTCATTGCTACTGAGTTTTAAAAATATATTATTAGAAATTTCCAATTTCTAGTACTTTCATTTTCCTCTGATAAATGGAGATGCTTAGTTCAGAGGTTGAAATTTCTTCTTTCCAGGGCGCTGCTTAATGTCTGATTTATTTTTTCATTTGAATTATTTCTTTCCATGTATGTAGTTTATGAAGGTGTAAGACTATGGGTTGAATTCTGAACCACAATGAGCTAATTCCTCTATAGTGGAAATTTTAACTTTTTAAGATAAAATTTTATTTATTTATTTATTTTAAGATAAAATTTTAAACTAAGCATTTACTTCTCTCTTGCTCTTGATTTCTTTTTTATTTAACAGAGGAAATATGGTACATGTCCTCATGGAGGATACGGCTTGGGCTTAGAACGATTCCTGACTTGGATTCTGAATAGATATCACATCCGAGATGTATGCTTGTACCCTCGATTTGTCCAGCGCTGTAAGCCATAACTGATTCCTCCTAAAGCATGAAGAAAAGATGGTCATGAAAGGAACAGACTGCCTCATTAAAAAGGAGCAAAATGTCAAATTGTTCCATGTTTATTCCATTGGGGTATTCCATTGGGTTTTTTATTCCCAGCTACCATAAAACCATAAAAAGTAGTTCACATTATTTGAATATCAGGGGACATTGATATCATTTTAAGAAAAAATATCCACTACAAAGTCTGGGGAAAATATGTGGCATGTAACTGTAGTTATGGATACATTTTGGCATTTTATCCAGTTATAGCAATTGTGTTAAATATGCCATACATAATTAAATAGTTTTTAATTATCGTGTAAGGTATCCTAAAAAAATATTTTTAAAGCTTAATCTTTCTGTACTTTTAAATGTAACTAGAATTCTTTAATTTGTATCATTTTATTGTATCAGTGATTTAAAACACATCTGTGGGGGCAGCTCACAGTGTGGGCATAAAGATTTGCTAGTGTACCTCAGCAGTAGATTCTGGAATCTAATGAGTACATTGTTTGACATCAGTTAATCTTTTCTGAATCCACATAGCTGCTTTTAATTTTGAGGCATATGATTTGATATGGAAGAATTTGTAAAAGTGGAATTGCCTTAAAATTTAAAGTAAGCATAATTGTTGGGGAGAGGCGTGGTATTTAAATGATTGCCAACATCCTTCATAGCATTAGTTTAAGATAAAGGGGTAGACCGAGCTTCCTTCTTTCCCGGTGGTTTTTAAAATTAAAAATATGTTCCAAAAGAATTTGGCAGTTTGAATCTTAACAAAACTGACTGGCTGGTTGAGTCATCCCTCCCATGTCCTTAGAGCTGGTCTGTGCTACCTTACATACTTCATAGCAGGATTACTGAATGGCTTCAGAGCAGATTTAGTTAATTTTTCCCTCAAATGCATGCCATGTATTCTCAATAGGCTGTATTTTCCCAGTGATCAATAAATGGAACACTCATTAAAAACTCTTTGGTGGTTTAATTTTCTCAAACTAAACTTTACTATCTCACATTAGTTCATATCTTATGCGTTTTTAATCTTTTATTTTCTGTGGTGTATATATGTAAAGTTAGATATTCAACTTAGTAGGTTACTAATGTTATGGTAATTAAAGAGGCCAATTTTTAAAAATTAGATATTTAGGCCCTAGTTAGAACTTTTTTGCCAATTGCTGGGTTTCTGTTCTCGCGACTAAAAGGCTCAGGGGTCACTCCAGTTAAACTGGGCTAACTGGGCTGCACGAAATAACCACACAAGAGACACAAATACCTTTTTCTTTGGGGTTGCTGTGACGGCTCCTCTGACCTTAAGGGTCCCCAGGAAGAGAGAGAGAGCACGAGCTGACCCCTTTTATTGAGGAGAAGCTATTCAAATGAGGCAAGGGGTCTGGTTTCAGGGAGCTGAGTATCTTCATGATGTCCACTGTCAGCAGGTTGACTGACACCTGGGTAGGCCACACCCAAGGGCACAGTAAGAGAAGGGGACACACACAAGGCACTTCCATGGAAGATCTATCCTAAACAGGGCAAGGGGTTATATTACAAAGGAACAGGTGAGCATAGCTTCACCCATGGGGCTGTAGCAAGACATACCCATGGACGAGACACCGACCCTTGCACCCAAGAAGAGTGCCACATTTCTGTGACTGAGAGCCTCAGTCACAGCCGGGGAGTGTAACTCAAGTCACGTGTTAAGGTTGGCCTCCCATATTTTTGTATCCTTTTTGTGTTAATTTCTGACACTAGATTTTATTCTATGTGTAATTAAGTGAAAATGGCAGATGGAAATGGGGCATTTGTAGTCTATGTGGCTATATCTTTAAATAAAAAGTACTCGGAAGAAGGTGAATGAGCTCTATTTGGCTTCAACTTGGCAGTTTAATTGAACAGAATTTAAGTGAATAGGTTAGGCTTAGTTAGCCTAAACTTTAATTGTATAAGTAGGTTAAGAGTTTTAAAATACTAAAAGAAAGCCAGGATTAGGCAGTGGGTAAGGGAGCAGAGGTCATGGTTACCTCAGGCCATTGAACAGCACACTTCTACGCAGAGACTTCATTTGTTAACTGCGGCAGTTGCTCTGCTCTAAGTGCCACAGATACCATTCCTTGTCCCTGCCATGCACAGCTCACAGACACCCCTGGTTCTGAGTTCTGCTCTCATGGGACTCCTTACTGGACTCTTCATCTTATGGCTCTTTCCAGCTGGAAACTGTTGATGCCCATTCATTTTGGCTCTTGTGTGACAGACATGCCCAAAGTTAGAGACAAGCAAGAGGATGGTACTGTAGCTGTTCAAATTATAGATAGCGCTCAACTTCAGGATGGTTTAATTCATGACTTCTCAGGTTTAATGATGGTGCAAAAGCATCACCAGGCAAACATTCTGTATCATTTTTAATGTAGCCAGTAAATTATAGGAGATGTTTAACACTTCATTATGAATAAGCTATGTGTGAGGTGACTTTGCCCAACTATAGACTTATAATGTTAAATATTTTGAGCACAATTAAAGTAAACTAGGCTGAGCTACTAGTACGGTAGGTGCATTTAGTACTTTATCAACTTACCATTTTAACTTATGATGGGTTATGGGGGATGTAACCCATCATATCAAGAAATATTAGGATTTACATACCAACTTTACCTCTTTAATGTTCAGCCATTGCTAGCAACCAGGTTTTTCTACCTTGTTCAGCTCTCTCCTACCTTGCTGCCTCTAGCAATTCCTGAACATGTTTAATATATATAGTAGTTCAGTTCTGTCTTAAGCAACCTTGGCTGTACATTGGGATCACTTGGGGACCTTATGGTCCCTGGTGCCTGGGCCTTACCCCAGAACAGTTGAATCTGAATTTCAGGGACAGGGCAGGACATTTTTAAAACATCTCAGGTGAGGATGTCATGGAGTTGATGGTCACTAGTACCTTCCTCCTAAACTTAACCCTCATTACTGTGGGTCCTTAGTAAATGGTTTCATATTAATCATTGTAGCTGAAATAGGAAAACTGAGGTGATGCTGAGAAACTATAATGTTTCAATTATTTTAAACCTTCTTAAAATCAGTTTGTTTTATTCAGCCCCTCCAGAAAAAAAGGACAGGGGTCGTGATATTCAGATGCTGTAGTTCATAGGCATGTGGAAATCGCTTTCCAGTAAGGTCACTAGAGCTTTCTTGGCTGGGTAGTAGCCTCCTCTGCCCCCATGTCAGTACCTTTAGGTCATTTCCGTGGGCTGGTCATTTTCTTATGCTGAAAAGCCTCCATCTTTCTCATCAGTTGTTACTAGCATAATGATTTGGTAAAGAACGTTCTCTTTGAAGAGAGAACAGAAACAAAATGAAAACTGCAGAGGATAATGAACTTTGAAGAGAGAAATTTGATCAGAGATGAAGAGGTTATGTATGTGGGACAGACACTAGTTTCTAGAGTCAAAATCCAGTTTGATTCTGGTATAATTTAGCATACAGGCTCAGAGAGATGGAGGTATTCAAAGTTTTAGCTTATTCTTTAGATATTTACCTCCATCAGTATTGCTGAGTAACATGCTTATATTATACTGATTTTTTTTTTTTTCAGTTTTAGACATTATCTATTGATCTTCTATAGAAGATGAGGATTTTGCTTCTTCCTTTTCCTGGCCCCACCACTCAACATGTACCCTTCTCATCTCTCCATTTTTTCTACTTAGTTAAATTTTAATTTTGGTTGGCCACATAGTAAATCAGTTTATTTCCCTTCCTGTCTAAATCTTGATTTTCCTTATGATTAATGGCTTTTATCTTGGTATCATGAATTCAGACATACTGGATAGTCTTGTAGTTACTTTTTCCTGGAAACTAGTTGCCCTCTGTTTTTAGAAAACAATTGCCATCCTGGGATCTATTTCACTATCATCCTGAGTATTCCCTTTGCTTTTCTCCTATATTGGATATCCTGTTTGCTGTATCCCACGTTTACTCTTTCTTGGTTTACTTTCTACTTGTGCTTGAGTAGATCCTCCAGTAATTTCCTAAGAAAAAGTTTAATGGAAGGTAAATTTATGAAATGACATGCCTGAAAATTATTTTAATCTGTTGTCACATTTAAACCATAGTTTATGTATAGAATTTGGGGTGAGAAAGCATTTTTCCCTAGAATTTTGACATCTGGTTTCCAGTGTTGCTGTTGAGAATTTCTAAGCATTTTGATATCTAATCTTTTACATATGGCCTGTCATTTCTGGAAGCTTGTCCCAAAGATCTGAAATTGCATACTATTTCTTGGGATCACTCATCCATCCTGATGGGCAGTTGATGGGCCCTTTCAATTCAAAGCCATGTTCTTCAGTTGTGAAAAAAGTTTCCTAAATTGTTTTATTAGAAATTCTTTAAAGTTTCCAATTCATGTTTTCTTTTTGTATCATCCCAGTTTCCTCCAAGATTGTTTTTGTGGTAGGTTTATGTCTTTCCTGTTAGAAGTTTTTTTCAGATGTCAATTGATGCTTAATTGTCTGCTCATAATGCAGAACAAGAGACTGCAATGTTCTCTGGATGCTCTGAGCACTTGTAGGAGATGTAAGACTTACTGCGCTGAGCTTTCTTGACTGGTAGTAGCCTCCTCTGCCCTCATGTTAGTATCTTTAGGTCATTTCCTTGGGCTGTCTGGGTTTCCTGTGGAGGGAAAAAGGAGGAGAGGGTTGGGTTTCTGCACCTTCCAGAAGTAGATGTGGTTCATTATCCTCTGCAGTTTTCATTTTGTCTGTTCTCAAGCAGTGTCTGGGATCTGCCATCTAGAGCCTTCTGCTACTTCTCTAGGAACCAAATCTAGTTAGCAACAGAAGGGTGAGAATCTAGGCAGTCTGATGGCTGCTTTAACAGATTTTTGATCTATCTCATTCTAGCATCTTCTTTTCATCTCCACTTCAGAGGTACCTGCCAGTCCTGAGCCACTGAGGGATTCTGTTGTATAAATCTGGATGGTTGCTTTAGAATGTCCAGCTTAAGATTATTTTCTTAGATCTATTATATCAAACACTTAACCTGTCTGCCTTCTGGATTCTAAAATTCTATTACTATGGTTCCCTTTTCCCTGTCATTTTAGACTTGTGCCTAAATACAAACAAAAAGCAGCACTGCCACCAAAACCTCTGTTGACATTTCAGTGGGATTTGGGAGTGAATAGAATAAACTACATTCACTAGTTTAAACCTCCCAACTCCTACCTTTTGTGGTATTGGGGATTGAATTCTGTGGCACTCTACCACTGAGTTACATCTCCAGCCCTTTTTATTTTTATTTTGAGACAGGGTCTTGCTAGGTTGCTGAGGCTGGCCTGGAACTTGTGATCCTCCTGCCTTGGCCCCCTGGGTTGTTGGGGTCATGGGCATGCACCACCAGGCCTGGCTCAAGCAATTTCTTTCCCTGGAGATCATTACTGTATTTGAGGACAATTGGAAGGAAATGGGCATAAGTAAAAGGGAAGAAATGTTCAATTATTAGATGTTAGAAGGACAAATTAGTGAGGAGTGATGACTTCTCTGTAAATGGGGAAAGAAAATAGTGTCTATTGAAAGGTAATAGTGACATTTAATGTTGGGTCGTGGGAATGGGTAGATACGCATTAATCTTAGGTTATGATTGTTACAATGACAATAAAAAGAATTTCCTTAGCATATTCAGATTCAGCTATGAATCTGAATTCATAACTGTCTTCTAGTGGCTGACAGCAGCTCTAACAAACTCGAGACACTGGTTACAGGGATGACCAGTGAGTGATGGGACCTCCCTGGTCCCCACTTTTTGCCACCTTTTTCTGAGATGCAGCCTGAGGGAAGGGAGTAAGCCCTAACATTGGAACCAGATGCACCAGGATTCAATTACTAGTTTCTGCCCCTTTCCAATTATATAGCCTCAGGTAAGTCAGGGAACCCCTGTAACTCTTCCTCATCTGAAAAATAGGGTAACACTGCCTCTTTGTAAGATGGCTACAGTGATTAAGAATTACAGTGTCTGGCACTTAATGAGTAGAAAACATTATTACCAACTTTTTTTCCTTTTGGCTAAATATAGGCATGACCCAAACATCTACCAAACTTTGCTTATTATAGTTAGTGTTGCTAAAACCATGTCCATTTTCTTGACACTTGCAAAAGGCCCAGTGAATCAAGGACAAGTTGTTGGGGAAGGAAACAGACTTATTCAGTAAGCCAGCAAACCTGAGAAGGTGGTAAACTAGGGTCTTGAAGGACCCTCTTAACTCAGCACAAGTTTTAAGCTACTTTTTCATCTTGAAGCAAAGGAGGAAGAGAGGGGCATGATTTGGTTAGGAAGTGATTGATGGCTGTAGACTGTAACCCCATGGTTAGCAATCTGTTGTTACGCATAGTCACAAGGTCACAATGCCCCTGTAAATATTGAAAATCTCTTAATCTTGTTTTGCTCTCATCAGTCTTTAAGGGGGAAGAGAGATCAGGGAAGTTTAAAGTTTAGGTAAATCAGTCATGTACAATCAGTTTTGGACAAACATTCTTTAAATGGTTAACAAGGGCTGTGCTCTGGGTGGCAGAGGTCTTTTCTAGTACACCATTATCTGTTTCTGGTCTACCTCCATAGTATCTCCCCACATCCAGAATATTTTACTCTTCCTCCTTTTATAAATTCTAATACCACTTTGATAAAAAGCATTTCTTTGCCCACTCAGCCAGAAATCAGTTCTTACTTTTTTGGGGAAACTTCTGCTCACCAGTGAGTTCCTTACTACATACACATTCATTGGATAAATATAATACCCTCCCCAGTCTTAGCTAAGTGTGAAAAAAGACATCTCAGGGCATCAGATTTGGAGGGAGGAGGTAGAGAGGTTCTCAAAGTCAGAGCTGTTAGGTTACAGTGACATAAGAAGAATTCCCTTTGCACATTCAGATTCAGCTATGAATGGGATGGGGCTGAAGGAGAACTGAACCAGGTAAGGCATGAGGAATCTTTTAAAGTTTCATTCACAAACAGCATTTAGGGCTGGGGTTGTGGCTCAGTGGTAGAGAGCTCAACTTGCATGTGTGAGGCCCTGGGTTCAATCCTCAGCACCACATAAAAATAAATAAATAAAACAAAGATTAAAAAAAAAAAAAAGAATAGCATTCTTATAAAATAGGGAAGCTCCTAGAAGGGCCATGCAAGAACAAGAAGGTGGAACTAGGCCATGAACTGTAGGAAAGGGGCTTCTGAGGCCTGTTGCTTTTGTGAGAAGAAATTCAGAATCCTGGTCCTATAGCTCAGAAGAAGACAAAGAATTTACCATCTGCCCAGAGCTCTGGATATGGAGTAAAAGCTTTCTGGGAAGAATCTACTCCCTGGGTTTTGAACTCGCATATCTTCAAGGAGCAGGACTACCAAACAGAGAAATTAATACCAACCTGTCAAGATGGATGAGAGCCCTAGGTCCTGCAGAAAGCAGAAAGGCTCTATAAGAACCCTTCCATCACCGCATGGAGCAGGGAAGTCTCCAAACAACTTTTACCAAAACTGAGCTCAAAACAGTAAATGAAAAGAATTAGTGTAAATGAAAGTATTAGGTGGTGCAGAACATGTCTTAATGCTGGCTCAGGAACTCCCATATCCCCTCTGCTCCACAAAGTGAACCTTCAGGAACTTGAGCATCACTACTATAGGGAGATCACCCAGAAGATCACCATCACCTAAGTTCTGCATCAGTGGGCCTTTGTCTCACGCCAACCCTACCCACTCACTCTGCTCAATCCACATGGCCTCTTTGCTATTCCCCAGCAGCCTATCACATGTTGAATTGTGTCCCCCTAAAATATGTTGCCATCCTAACTAATACCTATCTGTACATAGGACCTTATTTGGAAATAGGGTCTTTATAGATATAATAAAGTTAAGATAAGGCTGTTAGGTGTGGGATCCAATAGGATTAGTGTCTTGATAAGAGGGGAAGTTGGCATGTGGAGATGGCCATATGACATTGGAGGAAGGGATTGGTGTGTTGCAGTTGCTGCCAGCCAAGCAATGCCAAGGATTGCCCAAACTTCTTCCCTCCTTCAGGTCCCTGCTTGGATGTTATGTTTGCAAAGAGGTGTGACTGTCTGACTGTGCTACACAAACTAGCCGTTCAAGCCTCTCTGCATTCCTTTGTCTCTGCATTCTCTTCCTCTAGCTGTACTTGACATTATATTGTATATCTTTTATCCTTGTCCTCAGATGATTGCCTACCAGAACATTATTTCCATGAGGGTAGAGACTCCAACTTATTTCTGCATGCCCAGTGCCTGCCACCCACCTGACAGAGAGCTGACTTCCCATGTATTTATTCATCAGTGAATGAGTTATTATTTTTTGGTACCAGTTATTGAACTCAGGGGCACTTAAGCACTGAGCCACATCCCTAGCTCTTTTTTTGTATTTTATTTAGAGACAGGGTTTCACTGAGTGGCTCAGGGCCTTGCTAAGTTGCTGAGGCTGGCTGGCTTTGAACTTGCAATCCTCCTGCCCCAGCCTCCCCTGTTGCTGGGATTACAAGCATGCACCATAGTGCCCAGCAAATGAATTACTTTTGTGCACAATTTTCTTCTTAACTTTTTCAAGCTTTTATCCTCCACATTACCTGATAGAATGCTTTACTCGTGGTGGACATTCAGTAAATATATGAAACATTCGGTTAAAAAGGGTAAGTCAAAATGTACATTGTTTTGACCTAGATTTGGTGCTTCTTTGTCATAAAACGATGGTGGGGACAATCGATCAGATTTTTCTGAGTAATCACTATAGCTTACCATTTGTCACATGCAGCCACTGTTTTTCTTGCACTGAATCCCCTCCCCCATTCTTTTTCTGATTATAGGCACAGAGTTGAGTAATCTGAATTTAGTTTGTATAGCTCAGAGGTGCCAATCATGGCAAATAATGAATTAGAGGATCCTCTCCCTGCTTTCCTGAAGCATTGAGCTGAAACCAACAAATTAATTTTATTTAGAATCACACGCTGAACTAGAGTGTTGTTGGTGACAGGCAAGTGCTTTATTTACTAATTAAGTCACCCAGGCTGAGATAAACTCTCTCCCTTGTGTCAGGGGTGCTGCTTATCTGAGGCAGCCCAGAGACTGTGCCTTTTAGCCTTCTGTTTGCTAATGAAATTGGTATATAATTTTGTTAAAAATGTGTGTGTGTGTGTGTGTGTGTGTGTGTGTATTGTTTCCCCATTATAGTTCTGCAAATTCCTTTAGTCTTTCAAGGTCTCTTCTGATTTTCTTAGTAAACTTGCATCAGAGCTCACAATTTTTGAGTTAAAAAAACTCAATATTTTCTACCAGTTTTGAAAAGAAGTTGTATAAAAGCATATTTTATCTGCTTTCCTTTCATAGGAACATAAAAAGTTACTCTTTGGAAAGCTGTTGTCTTTGGTGCTTGTAAGAAATAAACCATAGATTAGAAATAACAATTGTATGTACTCTCTGTTGAAGCCAGATTGTGAAGTTCCATCTTCAGTTATAACCTATGAGTCCACAATAGGTGCACTATGTGAATAAAATGGTGCTAATTCATTTAAAAATATTGTTACATTGATACATATAATACATTTTTGCTAGTTCCTTTCTCCTTTGTGGTTGAACACAAACCTAATCTGTCCCAACGGTTGATTTTGTGAGGTTTGGAACCTTTATGCCTCGTCACTAATCATCAGCATTTCCCTGGAAGGGGCCAGAAACTCCTCTTATCTCTACCTAGCAGGTGGGGCTCAGCACAAGCCTAGAGGAGTGACTTAACCAGGGCCTCCCAGAGGTGACCAGGAAGATCTCATATAGATCTGACCTCTTGAACCTCTGGCCTTTTCTAATTCTCTCGTCTATACTTATTCCAGCACAGCATTTCAGAATATGGAATGGAGTCTTTTTATGCAGTTTATTTAGAAAAAAGTGGGTTCTGGCTGTATGTAGAAAAGTATATTATCTATAAAGATCACCTCTTTAAAGTGCAACTTCAAACTCACATAATTTTGGCTATGAGTCAAGAATTAGCAAAATGCCCAGGAAGGCAGTTTGATACTTGCAGCAAATTTTACTACTTTTTCTCAAGAAATGCCATGCTTGCATTAGAAGATCATGGAGGTGATATGAATGACAATCTGTTTAATTTTGACATTTTGCATTGGGCTTATAGTTATAAAGAAACCAATAAATTAATTCAATCAAGAGCACAAATTTTAGCTGCAAAATCTGGTTTTCAATTTGATCTAGACTTTTGTCTTCCCTGAATATTCCACATGACTTGGTCCCTTAATTCCTTTAGGCCTTAGCTCAAATGTCAGTGCACTTCTCTGACCCATGGAACTCAAATTACAATAGCCCTCCTCCATCCCCTTACCTTGCTTCATTCTTTTTCTTAACTGCTCATCATCAATCAAAAATATTGTCAAGATTATTTCCTGTTTTTCTCCTAAACACTCTACAGGAGACTTGGTCTTCTCTGTTCACTGCTGTTTGCCCAGCACCTATTGCCACAATAGGTGCTCAATATTTGTTCAACGAATGAATGATTCCTGAGACCTTTGTGTACCAAGGACTGGTCTTATACCCCACGACACATTGAACATATATGGACTGGTGGAGGTGCAGGAATGTAGGAATTGTTAAAAAAGTGTACGGCTTCCTCTGCACAAGAAATTGGGGATGGGGTCGCTAATTTGGGAAGGTGCACGGAAATGGTCCCGTCGAACTTACTATAACAACCTTCCAAGAAATGCACTTGCCAGCCGGAACTTCACTTTTCCTAACACTCTCATATCAGCGGTATAATGTTCACTGTTTGATGTCACCTGCCAAACTGCTGCTTTTGAGGTGCTGCTGAGAAATCAAATAGTCACACGAGTGCCTGATATAAAACACTCCCTTTTTCTATCCTGAAAACAAAGCAAAAAAAAAAAAAAAAAAGTCTGTACACTTAGTGGTATAAGTAGGCAGGCAAACTGGACAACTGAGGCAAAATCATCCTCATATTTAGGTAACAGTGATGGAAATGTCTAGAGTCTCACGGAATCATGCTGCCATTCCTACCTCGGCCAGATTGGCAGATGCAACCCGGAGATTGGTCCCGGGCAAGGAGTTGAGTGGCACTTTGGTGCACTGACCTGAGATGGAGGGAAGGTGGCCACTAGCCCAGGCCTGGAGACTTTCTCACGCAGTGGTCAGCTCCCAGCCAGGGTCTCTTAGCCAGGACCGCCCTCTCAGCCACGCCCTCCCACCGAGTAGCCAAGCGTGGACGATTCTCGGCGTGGGAGGTGTCCCCATCTGGCCCCACCCCGTGGTCCCTCCTCGACCCTACAGCGAATGAGCTGACTTCCCGAGAGGGGCGTGCCCCCGTCGGGCCCCGCCCCCACCGGGCAGCGAATGAACTTGCGCGCCGCGAGGGTGCCGGGTGCTGCGGCGCCTGAAAAGGGATCTGTCCGCGGGTGGGGAGCGCTCCGCAGGTTCGGTGTTGGTTGGGCCGGTACCAGAGGGTGCCGCTGCGGGAGGAACTCAGGAGCCCGGTCGAGGCTGCCCCGGAAATGCTTTCTGCCGGCACAAACATGGCTGCGGCCCTGCGAGCGGCAGGAGCCTTGCTCCGCGATGGGAGTAAGTGGGGCTGTCGCGGCTGCAGTCGAGGCTGAGGTCCCTGCGTCCCCGGGGGCAGTGGGCGGTTCGCAGCGGGGCGCTCCGGCCTGCGGGCTCCTGAGCTGCGAGGGGCGTTGCGGAGGGACCCAGGATGGACACTGAGGCCGCCGGGTGGGGCCCGCGCACGGGGCGCGCCGCCGAGTCTCACGGGCCCGCTGGGTGGACGTGAGCTGTGGCTGACTTACTCAGAGCCTTAGTTACTGTCATCTGTACTAACGATTGTTTTGGGGTTTGCGGGAAGGAAGTTACATTAAGGGCCTGTCACTTGAAAGACGGTAAAGCAGGCATCACCATTATCACTACCATGGGCATCTGCTCAGCAATTCCCTCCCAGGTGTTTATTAATCTTCGCAATATAGAACTTTATTTCTACTTTTGAACTCGGAGGTACTCTACCATGAGCTACATCCCAGCCCTTTTTATATTTGAATTTTGAGATAGGGTCTGGCCAAGTTGCTTAACTTCTTATCTTCCTGCCTTAGCTTCCTGAGTCACTGTGCTTGGCTTCTACTGTTTATTATATAAAACGATGCATATTTTTATGTGCACCTTTTGAAATAATCCCAATCTCCTATGTGATAGAAAATGGTTATATTATATATTTAAGTCTTGTGTACTTTGCATTCTACCCTCTTCTGCTCTACCCCAAGCATCCAAAATATTAAAAATAATTTGCTTTTGAAGAACCAGTGATACTCATGAACTTAAGTCACAGATACATTTTTGAATGCTTTTTCTATTGGGTTTTCCCTGGAGTTGTGGAGCTTTATTTTCTTTTATCATCTTTTTTTCTTCTGTATACCCCTTTTTGAGAACGTTTATTGTTTATAGCTGGTCCACAGGTAGACCAGTTGTCCCTGTAAAGGCAGTGGGCAGGGCAAAGTTACCTCGTCCTAATTTGTAAGTGGGCAAGTCTTATTACTGAGTACTCTTAATCTCTTTGCCTAACCACATGCAGTGGTCAGGTCTTGTTTTGGGGATGAGTCATAGTTTTTTCCCCCTCTAATCATCACAACAGCTCGTAAGTCAGCCTTATCACCATTTCACAGATGGGAAAAGTGAGACTTGCAATGCTTCAATGAATTGCCCAAGTGCAGCTTGTTGATCCTATGTGGGATTTCCCAGATCTTTCTGGCTCCAGAACACATACTTTGTATTTAGCAGTCTCAGCTCATCCTTTGAATGATTACTTTTAACTCTTTTTGCAAGACAAATTCTAATTGTTTGGTAGAAGGCACTTCATTTTTCTAGAATCTTTAAGCGCTCTAGGGAGGAAGGTACTTCATTTTTTTAGAACCTTTAAGCTCTCTAGGGGAGGAGAGTGTCTTAGAGATGCCCTGAAGAGATAGGTGTATTAACCCTAAGTCCTGAGTAGAAAGCATCTCTTATTAGCAGCATCACTGTCCTCTCTACAAATTTGGTCAGCCATGGAGAAAAGAATTTTGTAAACAAGGGCATGGAATAGTTAACTCAAAAAGCCACCAGTTCCCAAACTGTACTAGGAAATCCTAATGTACTAGATGGAGAATCTAGTCTTATCCCAACTTCCTTCCTTTTCCTTTTTTTTAGGTTTGCAAGAAGAAATTTTATTTATGACCAGTGGTCAATTTTTGGAATACCAAAGTTCTGTTCTCATACCCCATGTAATCTGATGGAATCTTATTTATATATGAAATTAAGAACTTGGTGAAATCTTACTATGTAGTTTAGAATTAAACTTTTCTAAACTAAGGAGATGTGTGTTGCTTTGAGTCTTCATGTGAATGGAACTGAACTTTTTTTTTCTCCCTCCATTATTAGCGATTGAACTCAGTGGTGTTGCTGTACCCCTGAACTTTATCCACAGACCTTTATATTTTGAGACAGGGTCTCATCAAATTGCTGAGGCTGGTCTAATACTTGCAATCCTGCTGCCTTGGTTTCCCCGTTATCTGGGATTATGGTTGTGCACCAGTGGACCTGGCAGGAATTGAACTTCTTTATATCAGTTTGTACTTTCACTTTGACTTAGTTAGGATTACTCAGCACAAACCCATGTCATTGGCTCTGTTGGGAGTATGCACAATCTGGATAGTTGGAAATCTAAGTGGCTTACTTATATAATTTTCCTATATTTTGTACACATGCTGGGTGATTTAAGAGAACTCAGAGCAGATGTAGTTTCTATTCTCTAGAAACTTACAAATGAAACTAATGATAGCACCAACCACGTGGTGGACACTGTGGAGTGCTTCACTTGTCTTATCTGCTTTATTCCTCATAAGAGTTCCAATAGCAAAATGTCATATTATAGCTGGGAAGTGAAGGCTCAGAAAGATCATAACTTGGCCCTGGGTTACTGCTTATAAGTGACAGAACTTAATTCAGAGTCGGACCTGGCAGGTCCACAGCCTGAATTACTCATCAGTGTACTTCTGCCTCTTAGGACGACAGCAGGAGGCTGATCTCAAGCTGATTCCTCCTGTTCAAGTACTAACCAGGCCTGAACCTGCTTAGCTTCCAAGATGAGACAAGACAAGATGAGACAAGACATTCAGGGTGACTTGGCCACAGACTCAAGCTGATTTCTAACCTACTGGCCTGAGAGTGGGGAAGGAGGTCCTGTGTACTGCATGGGAAACAGTAGTACTGTCCCACGTTGCCCTCTTCAATACCTATTTGGCTTCAATTTAATTTCACTGTATGTCTGAGGATCAACACTCTCTTGCTACAACTGAGCGTGGCATGTGGACTCTTCAATTCATGTGCCTTCTCCAGGCCTACCTTTAACTCTTGTGAGGCTCTGGTCAAAAGTATATATGGACGCATATATAGCACATGTGGGATAGTAAGCTAATAAAATGGGATGTGTTTTGTCCTCTGACATAGACCTTGGTCTCAATTACAAGGATACACTCTTGACTTGAACTCTCATGAGCTGCTGCAGAAATGTGGAGGCCTTGGGAAAGTCGACCTTCAGGCTTTCCTGCTTCTCTTCTTGCCGCCTGCCACCCCTTGGCCACGCTTCAGTTCCAGGATTGTTTATACTGATGGCACAGTCTGCACTCAGGAGGATGGATGGGCAGACCTGCGGATGGGATGGGGCTTTCAGAACAGAGAATTATCGATTCCTAAGTCCTGGGATTTGGGTCTGGTGTGTGGGGTGTGGACTCTGGGGCAGGCTTGTCTCCTTGGCCATGTCAATTGCATACTCCATGGGTGGGTGGGGTGCAGTGAGAGGATGGCCAGAGCTGGCCTGTAAAGCAGAGGCCCCTGACCCTTGCCAGGGCTCAAGGGCATTACTGGGGTTCACAGCACTGGTGCTTTACTGGTGCTTGGAGGCAGAAATGAGATCTGCAGTTCACTGGACACTGGCCCAATTTTCACTCCCTAAATCAGTAACCCTTCATCTTTCTGTGGATCCCTCACCTTTCCCCTGACCACCACCCTCAGTAACATTTAGAATGTACAGGGGTTCTTATGAGGGATCATATCAAAACTGCAGCCAAGGCAGGGAGAGGTGGTATGTGGCTTCCAAATTGCCTCCCTGCAGGCTCTCATAAGCCATTCTAGGGCAGGGATCTCCACCCATCCCCTTGGAGAGGCCTTAAGTGCTTCTACCCGCCTGCAGAGAAATACTGGGAATATCACCTCTGCCATCACATCTCTTTAAATTTTAAAGCCAGGAATTATACCCTGAGGACCTCTTCAAAAGAAATTACTTTCCAGCTAGATTTCATGCTAGCACTTTAATTTTGTCACAGTGGTGCATGGCAGCTCGAGGGCCCGTCAGCCATGGAGGTGTCAGTTGGGTACAGCGGCAGCGGCAGGCCCCACAGAGAAGGCCCAACAGACTAAGAGTACAAAACCTCAAGCTCAACTGGAAAAGAGGTATGAGTCTAATTTTAGGTACAAATAAGAATTTGTCTTTATTGTTGCACACACCAGTGGTTACAAGATACCTAGGAGGAGAGGTACTGGGAAAACCCAGGGTATCGGAAGGGCTATGTTATTTTCTTGGCTTCCTCTAAATAGCTGTTAAACTACAAATTTTAATGCCCCCTAGCCCTCAGTAGGGCTTTTGTTGAAAAGAGAACACATGAAACTAGCCTGCACATCATGTAAGAATTTGGTCTTGGAATATGTCACACAAATTATGTGTATGCTGGAAATGTATTTATGAACTTAACATAATTATGCCTGAAACATGTCCTATACAGGATAAAGAGAAACTAACTTATCAAGAACTCCTATAGAGCGGTAGGGTTGTGGTTCAGTGATAGAGCTCTTGCCTAGCATGCATAAGGCACTGGGTTCCATCCTCAGCACCACATAAATGTAAAATAAAGATATTGTGTCCACCTAAAAACTTAAAAATAAATAAATATTTTTTAAAAAGAACTCTATAGAAGACTCTACCATAATTAGAACATAATTATAAATGACATACTTTGATTTTTAACTTATTAAATAAATCAAGTATATGTTTCCTTCCTCACCTCTTTTATTTGCTGGTGGAAGGCAGCAGGTATGTTGCAGAGTGTCCTCTTTGATAGCAGAAGCCACAACTGTCCTCAGGTCCTCCTCTGAAGGGCAGCTAGAGCAGACTTTATAAAGGGAAGTTGTTTAGATCTAAGGGTACCAAGGAATGGTAAGCTTTTACACCAGGCAGAGTGAAAGGAAGAAAGTAGCTGTGACCTGTGTAACTCATTGACCTTTCTAAAGACCTCATGTCAGTGTAGGAAAGCAGCCCTGAAAATGGAATATTCCAATTTCATCTTTGCTCTTTTTCATGGTGATCAGAGGTTCATTGATAGAATGCTAAGTAAACTGAAGTTTTTTAGGGATAGGACATATGGGTGGCAAACCATCTCCTCTCAACTCAGTCTTCCTAAAAGATGGAGTTAGTGAGGAGGATGAGAAGTACAGATGTCATTTTTGGTTGACAGTGAGCCAAGCAGGGCACTGGTCCTCCTGCCTTCGGCAGCGCCTCTTCCCACCTTATCCCTAAGTTCCTAGGGGTTGGAATAGGTATTGGTTTAAGGTGAAAAACTGATTCAATGTGGGATCCTGGAAGGAAAGTTATTTCATCACTATATTATTCTAGTGGCAAAAGCCAATAACATAAATAGCCTTAATTTAAATTATTCAAATTAAATAAAAATCTAAAATAAGCCCTAGATTCTATTAAGTTACTTTATATCTTATTTATAGAAAAGCAATAAAAATACAAATGGGAAAAATAAAAGATAAAAAATATCACTGATAATCTTACCATCTAACATTTTATCTCTGTATCTATTTGTATTCACTCGATATATACTTACTGAAATGTCATAATGCTGTACATTCTATTTTATAATTTATTATTATATCATCATATAATTATAAATATTCTTCTGTATTATTTTAGTAGCTTAGGAATATTTTATTAAATCATAATTCATCCAGTTTCACATTATAGTCATAGGTTATTTCTGGTTTTTCCGTATTTGAGTTGAAACAATACATGCCTTTGTGTATTATTCTGATGGCAGACCTTTTGAAGGCATTGTGCTGTTTAACGCTTGGAGTGAACTAAATTAGAATACTTGTTTTAGTCAGCTTTTTTGCTGCTGCTAAGAGACCTGACCAGAACAATTTTAGAGGAGGAAAAGTTTATTTGGGGGCTCACAGTTTTAGAGGTCTCAGTCAATATGTTTAAACAGAGGTTCCATTCATTCCTTTGGGCTTGATGTGAGGCAGAACATCATGGCAAAAGAAAGTGGTGGAGGGAAGTGGCTCATGTGATGATCAGGAAGCAGAGAAAGAGACTGCACTTGCTAAATACAAAATATATATCCTGAAGGCACGCCCCCATTGACCCACCTCCTCCTAGCCACACCCTACCTGCCTTCAGCTACCACTCAATTCACTGATTGGGTTAAGGCTCTCATAAACCAATCATTTCTCCTCCAAACCTTGCATGGTCTCACATATGAGCTTTTGGAGGACACCTCACATTCAAACCATAACCATATTAGATAATGCTATTTTAGATTAGGGGTTGGCAGACTTGTTCTGTAAAGGTTTAGGTAATAAATTTTTTTAGGCATGCAGGCCATATCATCTCTTCACTGCTCTGCACCTCTGCTGTTGCAATGTGAGAACAAAAATAATATATGAACACATGATTGGAACTGTGTTATAGTAAAATTTCTATTTCCCAAAACAGGCAGTGTATATGTGTGTGTGTGTGCAGATTTGGTGCAGATCTTGTAAAACTACAGGCTGTTCTCTAGGTGGCCGAGATCCACAGGTCAGTTACATCTTGAAGGTTTAATTTAGGATTTGGAATTTGTTTCCTTTCCTTAATGCTGATTATATATAGTAGGATAAAATTATTATTTTCTTTATTAATTGATGAGATTAAGTTCCTAGTATGTCCATTTAGTAGTTCAAAAGAAAACCCTTATATTTTGAGAGTCCCAGAATATAAGAATGGCAAAACATTTAAACCTTTCAAATATGTTTTGCTGCATACAGTTTTATGTTTAAACAGAGGGAACTTGACCAGTCAGACCTTGGTCTCAGGTGTGCTCTGTCTGGAGGGGAGAAGAGACGGAGACCCTTGACTAAAGCTTTGCACTTCACTTTCTGGAATAGAGCAGAGTCCGACTAAGGCTTACTAATACGCCATTCATCATGCACAACACAGTTTTGAATTAAGTGCATGTGTATTTGGGCATTTTCAAATCATGTGCATCTCTTTCATGTGTAAGATCAACATGGGTCTGCAAAATCATGAGCAGGGCAGAGTGACATCCGCTTTTAAGCCACTCTTGTTCTGAGCTCAGGTGTTATAGATGAAAAACACAGTTCTAAATCCCGTTTGCGCATTGATAACCTCTGTGGCTTAGGTAAGTCTTTTAGCCTGGGGTTTCTTAACCAGTAATCTTTTAACTGGCAGCAATCCATGGGAAAATGCACTTAATTTATTGTGAGTCACAGATTTTGAGGGTGAAAGACAGGATCCCAGGAGAAGACTGGTGGTCTAAGTATAAAGATTAAAGGCATATTAGTCTCACAAAATGATGCTTCTGGAAGTTTGAGGTAGCAAGAAAAGAAAACCATACCACAGTTAATTTAGTAATAGGACTTCTATATGGAAAAGTTCTATAATAATGACATCTTTAATGAACCAAGTGTCATCACTTGGTTCAGTCAAAAGAGGGTTAAGCTCTTTTTTCTAAGATAGTGGTTATAAATGTGATTGGGGACATTTTATCCCTCTGAGGACAAATTTGGCATTGTCTGGAGACATTTTTGGTTGTCATACTGGGGTAGGGTATGTACTGTTGCCATCTACTAGGTAGAGGGCAGGGAGTTACAAAACATGCTACATTGCATAGGACAGTCCACCACAGCAAAGGATTATCTGGCCCAAAATGTCAAGAGTGTAGAGATTGAGAAACCCTGGTCCAAGACAATTATATAAAAAGTGATCTTAGTTAATTTTTATAATGGGTTCTAAATTAGAAAATCCCCGACTTCCTTGTAATGCTGCATCTCCCCTTTCTCTGTTAATTGGTTCTTACTCTAAAGTCTGAGCTGAGAATTCAGATTTCCATCTCATTCACCTACAGTGTGTTTGATCAAGAAAGTAGTTTCCACCTGTATAAATTTGACACATGCTGCTCCCTAATGTTATTGCCAAATGTTGTTAAAGTTGTTTAAAACTGCTGTTAAGATGTAATTGTAATATCATTACTTTCAGAACACATTAAGAACAGTCTTCCAAAAGAGAACCATCTCAGCAGGGTTGGTTTACTGCTGTGGGAGCCAGAGGTGGCCCCATGTTAGGTTTAGGAAGTGGGCCCCTCACCATTTATAATAATGGCACTTAGATAAACTTCTGCTGGCTATTTCTCAGCTGCTTTATCAGGAATAAATGGAGGATACAGCCATACAATAGGATATTATTCAGCAATAAACAGCAGTGAAGTACTGATTCTTTCCTGCAACATGGATTAACCTTGGACATTTTATGCTAAGGGAAAGAAATCAGAAACAGTTGTATTTCCATTTCTATGAGATGTTCTGAACAGGTGAATCCATAGATATATTTGAATTTTAAAAAGAAAAGGGAAACAAACGGAACACTCCTGTTCCTTATTTTCTTCATTGCCATCACATGGCTCTTCGTTCATGGGGGCATGCAAGGCCCCCAATTCTCCTGGTCCAGCTCAGACCCTGACCTTCTAGTTCTGGGTCTCTCTAGTCATGGTCTTTGGTGGTTCCCAGAGCACATGGAGACAGACAGTTAGCCCTGAGCTTTACCTTGCCTCTGGCAGGGATTAGGAGTAGAGAACTCCCAGTTGGACTGACTTCAGGCCGCGTAGGCTCCAACGCTGTGTGGGATTTAGAAGTCTAATTTTTTTTTTTTTTTTTTTTTTTTGTACTTCTTTTTTTTTTTTTTTTTTTTTTTTCCAATTTTCCTGAAGCTACTTGACTTAAAACATTTGTTAACAACTTTTACTTTATTTTTGCTTCTTCCTACTTATGCAATGCTTGATTCTTTAGCTTTGGACTAACTTAAATGTTAGTGACATTTTTTTCCAGGAATTCTCTAAGCAGTGGATTTTCAGGGAAGGTAAGCATAGAGTGAGAAATGTAGTTTATCATAGCAGGGGTCATGGAAGAAAGAGTAAAGGCAGGCAGTGGAAAAGGAAGCAGAGTAGCAAAAAGTAATTGAAGTCAGGACTCATTTTATAATTCACAAAAGTGAGCAGATAAATGAGTGAGAGATGGTCTTATGCTGTACTTTGGAGGTTTAAAGTTACATGGGAATCCTTCTCTGTATCAGATTTATTATGTTCCAGATCATGCTAAGTAACTCAGTACTTGAGCGCTGAATTCTCAAAACAACTTTTGACTTCTATTTAGCACATGTGAAAACCTGAAATTTGGGGAGGTTGAGAACTGTATGTCTATAAAGGCTCTGACATGTACAGATTCTTCAACCTCAGGACAATGCTATATTTCTACTTTGACTCTAAGTCCCTAAAGAATCAGATCTTTGTTTAGGGTTGACAGGTTAAAAGGGAAACATTTGAGCCCGGTTAAGAGCAATGGATGGAGCTAAGAGACGCAGGTCAGAGTCTGAGCTGGGAAAATGGAGAAGTGGAGGCCTGTTGTGTCCCCAAATAGGCAACCATGGGGTAGCAGCAAAAAGGTCTGTAGATTTTCCATTTGGATCCAGTTGAGAGTTTGTTAGCTGAATCAAGTATGTCCTAGAGGAAAATAAAATGTGTGACAAATGAATTGTTGCATTTTATTTTATATAGGAAGCCAAAAACCGGAATATTAATGCTGAACATGGGAGGCCCCGAAACTCTTGGAGACGTTCATGAATTCCTTCTGAGGCTCTTCTTGGACCGAGACCTCATGACACTTCCTATTCAAAAGTAAGATATGTATAAACCCCTGCACTTTAAAAAACATATGCAATGCATTTGGCTTTACATGTACCTCAGCTCTGGAGTTTGAAACAATTGAAGAGTTTCAATACATATCTAGTAGTGGTTAGAACAGCAGCATTCCGTCTTTAGGAACTCAGAAGATATGATACAGAAAGAACTAATAGGGTGGAAGCTAGTTAGTGAGCATTCTGCATGAGCCCTCTCCTCCCCAGAGCCCTGGAAATTGCAGTTGTCTTGACACAATGGAAGTACCTTTAAAGATTTTTAAAGATACATTTGTACTTGGCACGTAACGGCTGATTAACACTCAGAGAAGCAATGATGATTATTCTTTTGTATTTGAATATGGATTACTGCTATTCTCCTTCTCTCTTTCATTCTTCCTTTCCTATGTCCTTCTTTCCTTTTAAAATAGGTTTTGCAGTGAAACATTTATACATAAATATGATTTAAAAATGTAAATAGTATAAATATATTGATGGTACAAAGTAAGTGTCCCTTTTCCTTGAACTCCAGCCTCCCAGTTTCCTGCCCAGAGGTAAACATCCAGAAATAGTCAATGCATAGCTGAGTGTGTGTGTGTGTGTGTGTATCTGTAAATATCTCCCCCCAACTTTGTTACACAAATGTGAATGTACTTATGAACATTATTTGTCACTTTGCTATTTTTTAAAAAACTTAGCACTGTATTTTGTTTTATATCATAATATATAGATCTAGCTCATTTTTTAAAATGACTGTTTAAAATTAACATAATGCTAGGCTTGTGCTTCACTCATAGACAATTAAGTTGTTTACAGTGTTGCAATGTACATATTTTTTGCACACATCATTGATCATATTTATAAGTACATATCTATAAATTAACATTCATTTTGTTAAATTAAGAGCAATATATACTTCCTATATTTTATATACTAATTCTTGTTAGGTACAAAATCAATATATAAGATAGTAGCTAGTAAGGATCCAGGGCTCTCTGCGTGGATGTCAGGAGTCCTGAATCTTCCAGGTGTGCTGCTAGAACAACTAGTAGAGAGCAGAGGTGATTATTCCTTAGAGAACATCTAGCTTCAGCTCTCTGTTCTCTGTCCAAAGAACTAGCTGTTGTCAGTGACCTCAAGCTTTTATTTATAAAGGCTTGACCTTGTTAGGTTTGTCTTAAATTTTTGCTTATCTTTATTGAGTAGAAAATATTTCTCAGGTTGCTAAGGTGGAATAAAATCCACTTACCTACATGTTAAATGGTTTAGTAAGCTGGCACCATTCATCGCCAAACGCCGAACCCCCAAAATTCAAGAACAGTATCGCAGGATTGGAGGTGGATCCCCCATCAAGATGTGGACTTCCAAGCAAGGAGAAGGCATGGTGAAACTGCTGGATGAGTTGTCCCCTAACACAGGTACACTGTTTCTTCATTAACATAATGCTAGGCTTGTTATTTCAAAGTAGTTATGAAATTTAAAATAGTACTGGATGCAGTGCTGATGTGTGTATTGGTCACTCTAGATTTGTAAGTTTCTGCATAATATATGATCACTTAACTGAGTTCTCAAGTCATTACCCTTGCACTTTAGAGCCTTTCCATTACTTTCTATGTTACAAAGGAAAAAGCGGAAAATTTGTACCATGAGTTTCAAAAGGAGGTTCAAGGTGTTACATAGCTAGATTATAAGGCAGAAGCAACATGAATAAAAAATGCATGTATCATTGTATTGGAAAGAAGTCCTTCAGAAATGGATTGAGCTGCTGCTGTGGCCCTTTCTTTCTGTTTGGATAGATAATTAGATCAACATCGAGAGCAGAATTAGCACCTTCCACTGAAGCCATGAGACACTAAGCAGCATTCAGTGACTGCTTTCAGCTCTCAGCAGCAGCACCATTGGCAGATATCAAAGTGGCACATTGGACATGGAACTAAAAAGAGGATTGTACACATCTGGTGACTGCCCTTTGAGAACTTTTAAGCAGAACAATCGTGTACAGAATGAGACACCAAATGCACAAATGAACTACAAGTGCCATGTTGAATCGCATCCAAGACTCACTCAATGCAGGATACACCATTATTTCTGTACAATACTGAGAAACACAAAATACTGGCAATTAATTTTAAGACATCATCTATTGTAGATGTGGACCAATAAGAGACGTGTTAATATTGCAAAAAAAAATGTTCGTATTAGGACACAGGAAATACATTCATTGTAGATACATTTTAGGACTTCAGGACTCAGGACAGGAGTGTGACACTGTGGAGACTCTCAAGGCAAATTAGCCCCCATTAGGCAGGACCAAAAGGAGTATTCCCCTCTCTGAGGAGAAATCATTGAGCATCAACTTGAATTGCTCTCAGAATCCACCATTTCCCATTGTACGAAGGGACAAAGGTTTCTAGTCCCTTAGCAGATCATTTCACTTGGAAAATTGTTCAATCGTGCTTCTGAATATTAGGTTGCGTCCTGCCTGCCGCTGTGGCTCAAGGGCATTTCTTATACAGTTCAGCCACAGATGCCACAGTGCATCTTTTTAAATGTTAGTGGAAGAAAACTTGGCTGCTCTCCATTTACTCCTATTTGGTAGAGAACAAACTCTCTCATTATTAACACTTTTTTTTTTTGAGAGAGAGAGAGAGAGAGAGAGAGAACTTTAATATTTATTTTTTAGTTTTCGGAGGACACAGCATCTTTGTTTATATGTGGTGCTGAGGATCGAACCTGGGCCGCACGCATGCCAGGCAAGCGTGCTACCGCTTGAGCCACATCCCCAGCCCCTCATTATTAACACTTTATCATCATAAAAGGTTTAGTGTGAATCAGGTTTGCAGCTTATTTAGTAGAAAAAAGAGGCAGAAAGGTGCCATTTTTTTTGTTTACATGTTACTATGGTACCCATCAACATCAAGACCCCTAATAGAGATGTCAGACTAGAGAAAGGAAACCAGATGGAAGAGCATCCTTCCCACCTCTCCTTCCACTTTGGTTTCTGTGATTTGTCCAAACCGATCAAGCCACCTTTTGCCTCAGTCTCACTGGTTGGCTGGGCAGAGTTCCCACAGAATGACCTGGATTGAACCAATGTTCCACTCAGTATCAAATGTCTGATCATTTTAATGTGTGTCTATGTTATGCAAAGACAGGAAGTTACAAGCTTGTAAATTCTGGGATTAATCGTTCTCTGCTTTGGTAGGCATCAAAGGATAATAATGTCCACTTCATGCTTACATAATCAAAATGTGAAAGTGGTTTTGAAAAAACAGGGATTAAGTGTTCTATCTTTTAGAGTCTTACTTTAAAAAGTTCACTACTCTTTATTGGAAGTGTGGGCCTAAGTTTCAGGTATTTATGGAGCCTGAGTCAGCTGGCTTGTCCCATTACACTCACTCCTAATGTGGCAGGAAACTGTCTTTCCTCTTTTGCTCATTCCATTCATTTCCCCACTTACACAGCCACTCTTTCATCCATGAATTCCCACATCCATCCAACAACCAGCCACCAGGTGTGCGTAAGCACTGGCCACGGGTCACACACAATGCTGAGCAACAGAGGAGCAAGTGAGCTATGTGTTACCTTCATGGAGCTAACTTTCCTGGTGGTTTTCACAGAGGCAGAAGGTTACTTCTCTTGGGAATGCTTTAGATTTCTCTGAATCTTGGAAGCTCATCTAGGGTCCTGGTCCTGGGTGTGTGTTGGTATTGGTGACCATTTTGGCAAATCACTATTCTCTGTGGCCCACGGTTGGCAAGCCACTTAAACCATGATGGATGACCACACCTATCATGTTAGTGGGCCTGCTTTGGGGTATGGCAGTGGTGTTGAACATAGGCCAAGACCACCCATTCATTCATTCCACAGCAGCCTATTGAATGCTACGCATTGTTTAGTGCTGCTATTCCGAATTGAAAACCGTGGTTTCTATTTATAAGAAGCTTCCAGTTCAGTGAGACCTTGCTGCTTCAGGCAGTCTTCTTATGAAGCAGAGAGAAAATCTTTTGGAGACTTATTGTAGAGATGGTACACAAAATGTGTACGGGCTGATCAGCACAGAGTATGAATGTAGGATAAATGAAATAGTGTGTAGGCTTCAAAGCTTGGTGGGGGAGTTTTGCAGTGAAGACCAAGAAAATCACTACGGGGCTCTGTGGCTCTCCAGATTGTCCAGAAGTAGGCTCCCTGTCCTGTTACTTGCACTTCAATGAGTGCACACTAAGCCGAACCCAGTGCCTTTTAGAGGAACCAACAGTCAGTTCCGTCCCTTCTGTTCCTCTTTCACGTTTCTCAAGTTTTCTTTCTCTAGTGTCCCCCAAAGTTTATGTATTGGAAATAATCCCAGAATTCATATGTCAATGACATTTGGAGTTGGGCTCTTAAGGTTAGATGAGATCAGGAGGGTGGGACACCTATGATGGCAATAGTGGCTTTATAAGAAGAAGAGGAGAGAGCTGGGGTTGTGGCTCAGTGGTAGAGCACTTGCCTCACATGTGTGAGGCACTGATTCCATCCTCGGCTCCACATGAAAATAAATAAATAAGCCGGGCGGACTGGAACATGCCTGTAATCCCAGGGTTTGGGAGGCTGAGGCAGGAGGATCGTGAGTTCAATGCAGCTTCAGCAAAAGCGAGGCGCTAAGCAACTCAGTGAGACCCTGTCTCTAAATTAAATTCAGAATAGGGCTGCGGATGTAGCTCAGTGGTCGGAGTGCCCCTGAGTTCAATCCCTGGTACCCAAAAATAAATAAATAAATAAAAGGGATTGTGTCCATGTACAACTAAAAAATTTAAAAAAGAAGACAGATCTGCGCTAGCATGCTTGTTCTGTCTTGCCATGCAGTACCCTCTGCCATGTCACTATGCTGCAAGAGGGTCCTTGCCCAATGCTGGTGCCTTGCTCTTGGGCTTTCCAGCCTCCAGAACTGTGCCAAATGAACTCCTAGTCTATAAAAATTACTCAGTCTGTGGTATTTAGTTGTGACAACAGAAAATGACTAAGACATCCTCCCTTCTTTTCTACACAATTATAAAGTTGACCTTTGAACTATGTCTTTTTGTTTATTTCTACTAAGAAATCTTGAAGCAAGAAAACATGATTGTAAACAGATAAAAATCTTTCACACTGTCCTTTTTTAGGGACATGGTTGTTGCTTGGTGGCCAGAATGGAAATTTTTGAGATTTGCACTGGTTTTGCATAGAATTGAATAATTACCCGATATAGTGAGTTATAGCAAGGGATATGGTTTCACATAATTACAGGGCAGTATAATCATGTAGAACATAGATGACACAGGTGAGAAGTATATTCATAGGATGAAAAGTCTAAGTCTAAAATATGTTTTTAAAAATTATAGTTTGCTTATGTGGGCAGCGACTGCTTTTAATGAAGCTGAGAACACAGTGGGTAGGGGGTTGGGATCTGGGTCAGGTGGCCCTGCTGCTTCCTCCTGGTGTGTGACTTCAGGCAGTTTGCTTACCTCACTAAGCCCCCTTTCTGAAAGGGAGGTAGCAGAATCCACTCCTTGGGTCATTGTGAAAATTAAATGAGATAATCCTAAAAGACATTTGCATGGTATGTGGCCAAAATTCACTAAATGTGAGTTTTTATTTCTCACCATTGGCCCAGAGTTTACCATCTGATGCAAATTAAAAAGCATCATGCTACATGTTTCAGACCCTTCTTCTAAAGGATCATGTCCCACAGGGGAACTATTGTACATCCTAAATTAATGAAGTTTTACTGTTTAAAAATCCCATTTTTCTTTCTTCTCATAGTTCCCTCCAAAGTATGTCCATTTTGAGGCAGACTAGGCCAGGCCAGTGAGTTGTGTGCTTGGCCATCACTCTGGCCAGGTGTGGTGCCCACCAAATGTGGTGCTGGTTAATGTCTGAGAGGCTCCTTCCCCTCCCTGTGTCCTGCCAGGGATAGCCAACTGTAAGACATTCATTATGACAGCAGGGACCCTCATGAACATTGCTTGTTGGCTCTTCAGGCTAGGCCAAGTCAGGGTGCATGGCCACTTTTTCTAAATATGTGTTTGTAGACCTTTAGAAAATATTATCTGTTCTTTCCAGAGTATTTTACTCTGTCTCATTTAAAAACATGGTCACCACCCTGACTTTATCTGCAAGAACAGTCTCTCAACCCTCTTAGTCTGCACTATTTGGGAAACTCCCAGACCCCAGGCATTTAGACTGCACTTTTCAAACACTGGACAGGTGAAAAGTCAATGTGAGAAACTGGTTGACCTGCAGCATCTGGGGAGCTCACTCTGTCAATCTGCTAATTGTATTGTCTCCAAGTAGATTAGAAAGCTGTTTCCTCTGGCTTGCTAAACCTCAGCACTGAGAGCCAAGGGTTGCCTAGAAATGAACTTGAAGGTTTTGTGATGTTTGATAATTTTAAAAATGAAGCACATAATTGTCCAACAGTTGGTCCTTTGAAATTTGCTTATAGGGTCGTGTCCCCTGGGGTGTTTTAACTACAATTCATCTATTTTATACAAGAGAACATAAAATTTGTGGCCTAGAAGGAACTGACAGTTGAAAATGATTCCGTTTATATCCTTCCTTCCTCTTTTTTTTGCAGTCTCTAGCACAAGAATACTGAATCAGACCATTCTTACACACAAACACACACACACACACACACACACACACACACACACACACACGACCATTGACATCTTGTTTCTGCCCTTGGTAACATGTTCCATTATTTCATAGTTCCCTGGGTCAAGTTATGAAGGATATTGCCCATGTGTACATCCATGTATGTATAGGATACATTCTTTATCTTTTCTTTCACTTTCAACCTAATTGTTTCTAGTGGAAATTTTGTGTCATGTTCTTCATTGCAGTCCCTGCAAATACTTTGAAAAATAACATAATCTGGGTTCTAACATAATCTGAGTTCTGTTATTCCTTGACGTTTGTATAGTGTATGCTCAATATCATTTTTGAGTGTTAGTTTTGTACAATCTCATGAAAGGCAATGCAGCGAGACCAGGTGACTTTAGGAAGCTTTCAGTTTTATGATTTTATGAATGCCTGAATATTTATGTAATATGACTGCCTTTGGAATGCAGGAGGATAAAGAAGATAGAAAGGGGAATTGGTGAAACCACAGAGGAAGAAGGAACACAGATGCAGACTCAGGCCATTTTAGGGCCACAAACAATTACTGTACATCTCACTTGATGCCTCTAACTTAAGCATTGTTTATGTATGTTATCAATGAACTTTTAATATGACTCTCAGTGCTTTTGCATTTGTTTAATAAAGTTGGTGACCTGGGGCTCAGGGAAGTGGGTAATGGGAACAGATGGGATGTAGAAGGAGATGGGCTTTGGAATGGGGGACTCGGGTTACAATTCCAGCTCTACTGCCCACCAGGTATGGTTTTGGACAGGTCAGTGAACTTTCAGCATCTCTGTTTCCCTATCTAATAAATGGAGTTTAAGTGTGTGTGTGTTGGGGGGTGGGGGGAGCAGAGTGTCTCCTCCAGTGTCTAGTGTGCAAGAGTTGACACTTTAAGAACAAGAACAAGTGCTAGTTTTTCCTCCCTTTTCTTGAATCTCTCTTTTCTGAGCCAACAATTAGGAACAGAAGTATGAATTTTAAAAACCATCATACTAAGTAAAGGTGTATGGGTAGGCGGTTGATCTTAGAGAATAGTGACCGAAAGTCTGTGTACCAGCTGAAGAATAATTAAGATCCCAGGAATATTCTAAACTTGCCCACATTATCAGCATCATAGGACATTACATTCACTGTTCTTTGTTCTGGGCACTACATTGTGTTTGGTGACTCTAAAGAATCTATATAAAGATTAATACTTTCTCCTTTCCACTTGTGCTTCCTAATAGCTCCTCACAAATACTATATTGGATTCCGGTACGTCCATCCTTTAACAGAAGAAGCAATTGACGAGATGGAGAGAGATGGACTGGAAAGGGCCATTGCTTTCACACAGTATCCACAGTACAGCTGCTCTACCACTGGTAAGGGTGGCTTTTTAAAATTTATTTATTCTAATTTGTTATGTATAACAGCAGAATGCATTTCAGTTCATATTACACATATAGAGCACAGTTTTTCATGTCTCTGGTTGTACACAAAGAATAGTCACACCATTTGTGTCTTCATACATGTACTTCAGGTAATGATGACTGTCTCATTCCAAGGGGTGTTTTTTTGACAATGGGCAGGTGGATAAGACCCTGGCAAAGTTAACCAGGGAGTCTGAGTGCCGTAAAAAGGATAAATCACTTAGATTTGAATGGCAAATCCAGCCTGTCTCCTTTAAACATGAGAGTTCAGGTCAGTCCATTTGAAATCTCATGGTTCATCTGCTCCTTGAATTATTGGCTGGTCAGCTGAGAATTACAAATGGTGGGTGGAAGGCGGTGGCTGTGTGTGTTCACTGCCTTAATACAGTTAGATAACGAATCAGTAATGAACCTTAAGCCACTCTCTAGGTTTACATCACATTCTTTTTTTTTTTTTCCAAATATGTTTTTGGCGGTACTGGGGATTGAACCTGGGGGCTCTACCCTTAGTCCTTTTTTATTTTGAGACAGGGTCTTGCTAAATGGCCCAAGCTGGCTTTGAACTTGTGGTCCTCATCCCTTAGCCTCCTGAGTGGCCCCTGTGCCTGGCACACATATAGCCTTGTATTTATGGCTACCCTGATATTAATTAGCAGAGGTGATTGTTGTTTCCCTTTTGAAAGCAGATGCCTATATAGCATGGACAGTAGTGGTATTTTTGTTGTTATTGTGCTGCATTCAGTGATGGTTGGTTGATAGTTAAACTGAAATCCAGTTCTGGATTCCCTTTGCAAACTTCCTTCAGTGTTCTTTATTTTAGAAAATGTTACTGCTTGCAGTTTCCATGTACTTAACTGGAGCTGGAGAACAAGTTGTTTGGCAATCTCTGTGTCATTGCTAATAGGTAAAACGCCTACTATCACCTACAAATACACTTATTTTTACTCCCAAAATGCTCTTAGGCAGTAATGTTTATTATTTCTATAACTATAAGGAGAAACAAAGGCTGCTGGTGGGAGAAACAAAGGCTACTGGTAGAAGAAACATTCAGAGCTTGTTGAGTGCCTTAAATATTTATCCAGAGCCTCTGTCAGGCCCCCTCAAGCATTTGAATTGTTATTTCTTTTCGCAATGTATTTCTCAACTTCAAATTTTTTTGGTAATATATTATTGGAAATGAGTCAGATCTTAGAATTTTTAAGCTCTACTTCTGTTTTGTTTTTAAAAATTTACCTTAATCTATAAATGTTTGCTCTCAAAAGTAGGTAGGTTTAGAAGATTGTTCTTTTATGACAAAGGGTTGACTTTTGGTTTTGTTTTCCAGCTGGCTTTTTTTGTGTGTGTGTGTTTGGAGCTTCAGAACATACTCAGTTTTTCTTGAGTGCATCTGTGTGTAAGGACAGGTACATCTTTACCTCTGAGGGTGAAAGCCTTTAAGATACACATTTATTCTTTGAGGCCCTAGAGTGTCATTTATCTATTTTGTCTTTTAGACATGAGCTGTCGTGGCAGAGCCAGTATAGTTTGAGTGTCTATCACAAGCACTTTTCTCAGTTGCTTTTACCCCTTCTGCTGGTTTATTGTTTCCGAGTAATCTGAATGCGCTAATATAGCAGCCCAAATTCCTTTTATTATATCCAATAATGATACCCAGGTATTTTGTGAAACTGAAAATGACATGGAATATTTTTTGAAAATATTGGTTTGCAATATGAATATTGGTTTGCAATATGAATATAGTAGTAACTACTTTTGATTTCTAGAGATTATTTTTGACCATTGAATGGACTCAATTGGGATTCTTTTGATTCACTGTTTTCTACTCACAAAATTGAACCTTTTTATTTTTGTGAAAGTTGAGCCTTATCCTAACCATACATTTGAGTTAAAATATGGCTCTGTTCTGATTAGCCTTTTAAATGGGAAACCTAACTGACTAATAGTTCCTATGATTAGAAAACCCACTGGCTTAGTGATGAGAAGCAAGCAAATATTTTGGAACTTGTTCTATTTTAAGATTGAGGAAGAGGCTCCACTTAGGATTGGCTTCATGGGTTGGAGTTTGGCCACAATGCCCAGTTCCCTGGGCCAAGAAAAAGTTGCTTTGGTTGGCACCATCTGCCCTCCTGTAGGCTTCAATTTTTCATCTCCCACTTAGAAATACAAATTTTGTTAGATTGCCTGTAGGGACTTGGTATCCATTTAACTTATTCTAGGGATAATGATGTTGTAGCAGCACATACAAAGAGAAAGTCCTGATAGAAAGTGTGGCTCACCTTATTGTGATACCACGAAGATGTGTGGTGATAACGCTGTCATTGTAACATAGAAAATATTTATCTCATAATATTAAATAAAAATGCACAAATACTCAAGAGAAATATATATATATATATACACACACACACACACACACACACACACACACACATACTAGTATTATAACTTTGTAAAACAAAGCAGCTATAAAGAAAATACCTGAAAACAATTGTGTTAGAACAGAACAATGACTGCATTAGCATGCTGGGATAATGGCTGGTTTCTTTGTTCCTTTCTTCCTCACCCATACATTTTCTGTAACGGGACTGATTACCCTCATAATGGGAAAAAATTCTAACCTGCTTTCAATTGTAAGACTTGGTCCTGATAAGTAACAATTGCTTATATTTCATAAATCTCCAACCATCACGTTTCTCACTAGAAATGGCCTCAATAATCTTTGAGAGTCTGTTGAAATTGATTGCTTTCTTGTGACCTTCATTTGCAGGGTAGTTAAATCTATATGCATTTTAGAGTATTGAAAAGATTGTAATTAGACTGGGATTCTGTATAGAAGCAGTTACCTACTTTGAACTTTTAATTACTGCCTTTCCTAGTCTTTTTAAATTTTCACAATAATCAAAGTATGTCTACTATATTTCAGGGAGCAGCTTAAATGCCATATACAGGTACTATAATGAGATGGGAAAGAAGCCCACGATGAAGTGGAGCACTATCGACAGGTGGCCTACACATCCCCTCCTCATCCAGGTAAGCCAGGACTGCCAGCAGTCCCCATCACCAGCCTCTAGAGTGATCAGGTTCTTGTCCCTTCTTGGTTTGTGGTGTCCTTCTGGGCCTCTTGTTCTCTTGCTTAAATTACATGCCGGGGGTTTAAAAGAAAGTATTAGATTCCTGATTTATTATGAAAAGAGAAAATAAATTTAAAGATTAAAATAGTTCTACTCTTTTCTTTCTTCACATTAATGCTCTTAGTCTCAAATCATAACAAAATAACATTTTGAGTTTTGTGTTTCCCAATGACCAGAAGAATATTTAAGATTGTACATGTTTCGGCTAATTTACATTCATAGATTGAATTACTGACAATAACTGAAACCCTTTATTTTCTAAATATTTTAAAATATCAAATTTAAAAAATTTAATATGCCTACATGTTCTGAGACATGAAAATAAAAATGTTTCAATGGAAAAAAGTTTCATTGATTTAAGAAGTTTCAGCTTTCTCCTGTACAACTTATATGTATAATACGTATATTAATGGGTACTTGATTTTAGGAAAATCATTTTAAACTACAATTCTAAAACAAATAGCTTTGAGTTGGTATTTTATTCTTTTATGTCCTTCAAATATGGGAAGGCAGTTGGTAAAATATTGCCCTGATTCATACAAATAAGTGGGGTTTTTTTTTTGTTTTTTGTCAGTAGTTCTAGATTGTCCAGTTTATTTTCCATTCTTTGAACATTCTCTGACCTCTGGCAAAATACCCCGTGAATTAAAATCTACAACCACTAGATGGTGCTAGACATCATTAAAATCAGACCCTCTCTCCAGAGCAGACCCGGCCCCTTAGGCTGGTAAAGGGTTAATTCAGGGGGTGAACTCCAGTTTTAAGTAAAAGGTGAATAGAAGGAGCCCCCATGGGGATGGGTGTCACCGAGGGCTCTGTGTTCCCTGGCAGGACCCAGCACTTCCCGGAGCCCCACATCCCTGACTGCAGCCCTTGGAGGCTGTGGCTGGAGGGAGGGGTGTTTCAGGTCAGCTTCGACATGTGGTGCAGAGTACCGAGGGATCTGCACAGCATCTGCCCGCGCTGATCGAGGGAGTAATTAGATTTGCATTAAAATTCAGCCCTTTGAAAAGGGGGGAAGCAGAAAGATGGAAAGGTCTCTTAACTGAGGAAGTCTCTGTTCATAAAATAAAAGGGAATTTTAGAGGCATTTATCTGCCCTCCTGGATGGTGTGATTGAAAGCTCTGAGGGCCGCGGTGCCTCTTTCATTCTGCAGAGGGCTGCGCGCAGAAGATCCCGCAGATGGGCTGTAGGTGATTTAAGCTGCACGTTACGTGCCCATGACGCCTTGGTGTTGAAGATGGTTTGGAGACTGCGATGAGCCATGATGTATAATGTTCGTGTTTGCAGTTTTGCAAGCTGAGAAAGGGAAAGAAACACTGAGCTCTGGATGAGTTAGGAATTTTTTTTTTGGAAATGAAACAAAACTAAAACCCTTAATTAAACTAAAACTAAAAATATAGTTTAAAGAAACTAAAACATTTCTACTTGTTACAGGTAATAATTACTCAAAATAGTCATTTTACTACTATGATCTCTGATATTGCTATTTATCTCACTGTTGGAGAAATTGGAGTCAAATTATGTCCCAAGCTACTTAAACTTCACAGTGGCCTCCTTATCTAGGTTGTTGCCCCCAAATAACCCTTTCTAAACATCCTTAGTTTCCAAACTCTGCAAAGACCACCGGAAAGTATAGTTTTTATTTATATCAAATATTACCACATTTAATCTATTGCTAAATCATAAATTCTGAAGAGGGAAACTTAACTTTAGGTGTCTTCTTAGGTAATACGGTATTTATTTATCAAATTTGAGAGTTCTAGAATGATTGATAGTACCTCAATATTCATTAGGGAATAGTTTGCACCTTTTACAGTATTGACTGACCACTGATATAGCAAAATACTTACAAAGGCAGATTTGTATGGCTGGGAAATGACCCTTTATCAATTAAAAAAATCTTTTTATTTGGAAATAATCTCAAGGATTTATAAAAAATGATAAGCATAAGAAGAGTATAGCCAGGCTGTGGTATACACCTATTAGCCCAGCTGCTCTGGAGACTGAGGCAGGAGGATCACTTGAGCCCAGGGGTAGGTGGCCAGCCTGGGCAATAGAGAACCCTGTCTCAAAAAAAAAAAAAAAAAATGTATAGGGAATTTTCTTCTACTCTTTGCCTACATTCATGTATTGTTAACATTTATCCTACTTGCTTTATTATTTGCATGCTCTGTGTGTATGACTATGTATGTTTGTGCATACATGTGTATTTTTTCAGAACATTTTGAGAGTGTTACTACCTTCTACACCTAAACATTCTAAGACCAGGACTATTCTCATACATAACTGCAACACAGCATTCAACATCAGGGAATTTAAACATTGATACTCAATTTTATCTCATTTCTGTTCATATTCCAATTTTGTCAATTGACCTGTTACTGTCCTTTGTAGCACTTTCTTTATAAGTGAAATGATAAAGAATGATTCAAGTGTGAGATGAAAGAAAGCCTCTTATGATCTGGCATTTCAGCACCTATCCATGTGAATTGGGAAATGCCAGCTAGATGGAGGGAGTGAACTGGTCTGGTGGACAGAGGTTTGTAGGCGGGACCTGTGTTCTAGCCCCAGTTCCCAGATGTGGCTGGACGGCCTCACATCCACAGCATCTTTCCCTGCTCTGTTCATCTAATGGGGGTTGTGCCACCTGTCATCTGTTGTTAGGGAGGGTGTGAGAAAGGTTGAGATTGCCTCCATGAGGATCCTGGACTCAGGAGGAAGATGTCATAAAAATAGAAGAGTATTTTCTTATTTCTCTCCTATTTCTAGCTAATGTATTTTCATGCAATATGCCTGAAAGCCAAAGTAAGGAAGATTAAGAAAGACCCTGTAAGCTGTTTTCCTGCTAACAGAGCAGACGAGAGGCCTTAAAACAGCTTCTCTTTCCCATCTGTGTTTCTTTTCCATCTGGAAGTGTGCCCTGCTCTTCCCGAGGGGAGGCAGATCCACAGCATTCATTTGCAGGGAGCCATTAGTGAGCTTCAGAAGTTTCCCATCAAATTCCCCAGGCCCCTCAAACCGTTATGATCCATTTTGATGATGGACCAAAGCAAAGAGACTGTACTGTTTGCATTTAAAAAAAAAAAAAAAAACAACTGTTCTGATTTTTTTAGAGTTGCTCTGAGACTTTTGGTATAACTCTTATTTTTGAAATATTTTCTTGCTTTCCACTTCTTTGTTCCTATTTCCCTGTTTCCTCCTTTCTTGGGATTCCCACAGTGTTTTGCAGACCACATTCTGAAAGAACTGGACCATTTCCCACCTGAGAAGAGGAATGAGGTGGTCATTCTGTTTTCTGCTCACTCACTGCCAATGTCTGTAAGTAAGAGCATTTTGTTGGGTGACCTAGTGGTTGGAGACTGGGTTGTTTCGTCTTCTAGATATGTAAAATGAATGTAGCTCCAATAGGTTCTAATCCCTTATGGAAGAATGACTTCTAAAATTCTAGACTTAACTTGGTACAGATTTCGTTTGACTCAGTATTTGCAACCTCATAACAATACAAATTAAAATATTGTAAATATTTTCTTAGTGCTCTTAAAATGATAATTGGAAGAGATATTTAGAAGAATTTCTAGGAAGTGGAAATTTTTTTTTTTTTGCCTGCTCCATTGAGGCTGGTATTTAAGTGTGTTCAGTTATATAGCCAGCCACCATTCAGACCAGGTCCCCCAGTTCTATTCTTCTGTTCTCAAGAGTTGGGACAGGCCATTTGAATTCCAGGAAGAAAGTATAGTTTCTGATTTGTGAAGACTAAGGACCATATTTTGGCAAGTGAATACATAGCACAGCAGATTGTGATCTGGTTGCTCCTTAGTTCATCATATTACACCGAGTTGTTTATGAAAGTACCACAAACTGGGCCATGAGAGTAAAATATTTAGAAAAAAGATCCAGTTAGTGTGCCATATAATTTAAATATATTGTGATGTTTGTTTTTGGTACTGGGGGTCGAACCCAGGGGCTCTTAACCACTAAGCCACTTCCCCAGCCCTTTTTTGTATTTTATTTAGAGATAAGATCTCACTGAGTTGCTTAGTGCCTTGCTTTTGCTGAGGCTGGCTTTGAACTTGAGATTCTCCTGCCTCAGCCTCCTGAGCCACTGGGATTATAGGTGTGTGTCACTGCGCCCAGCACTATGTAATTTATAGAAGGGCTTGGAATAAGTAATTAGTTTCATCAGCTCAAAACTGGTATTGGGTCCTAAAAACATTGCTTTTCAATGCTGGGTGCGGTGGTGCATGTCTGTAATAGCGGCTACTAGGGAGGCTGAGGTGAAGGATTGCAAGTTCCAGGCCAGCCTGGGCAACTTAAGAGAAACTCTATCTTAAAATAAAAAATAAAAAAGATCTGAGTAAAGTGGTGAAGTGCCACTGAGGTCAGTCCCCAGTACTGGAAAACAAAACAAAGTAATAACAGCAAAATATATTGCTTTCCAAGCCAGAGGGATGAGAATTATATTTTCTTAAGTGTGATTAAAGTTTGAATTTGATGGTTAATGGAGCCAGCCTCAGCATGGGGGTCACTCTTCTTGCTGCTCCATACCGCCACTTGGTGGTCATCAGAGCCAAGCCCTGTGCAGTGTGTCCTCTCCTATACCTCAACTAGGCTGTCGCTGCTTGGGCAGTAGGTGGCTCTGGAGATAAATTTCTCCCTTCTTGCCTATTTCATTTTAATAGGTTTATATTCTCTTTGCTGGTGTTATGCAGATCCTCTTTTTTTAAAAAAAAATTTAAAAAAAATTTTTTTTAGTTGTAGTTGGACACAATATCTTTATTTATTTATTTAGTGAGAGAGAGAGAGAATTTTTAAAAAATATTTTTTAGTTCTTGGCAGACACAACATCTTTGTTTGTATGTGGTGCTGAGGATTGAACCCGGGCTGCACGCATGCCAGGCGAGCGCGCTACTACTTGAGCCCCAACCCCAGCCCGATATTTATTCATTTTTATGTGGTGCTGAGGATCGAATCCAGGGCCTCACACATGCTAGGCAAGCGCTCTACCACTGAGCCCCAGCCCCATGCAGATCCTCTTCACATATCCGTCCTGTGTGTGATGAAACCTGAAGTGCCAGAGGGCAGCTCCTGAACGGGGCCAGGAGAACATTTTGCACTGGAACATTCCCTGTGCCTCCTTGTGGTCTCTCACCTTCAGTCTCCCTTCCCTTGCCTTCCTGCAGGGACTGGACACGGTACTGTGCTTCTGGGTTCCTGTTAGGGACTGAGGGATGCCATGAAGTCACCAAGGCTAGGGAAGGTGGCGGGACTGTCAAGAAAGAAAACTGACCTAGGAAGCCCTCTTTTCACCTACACTCATAACTAATAACTTTTTTACTTTGAAATAATTTTTAAACTTACCAAAGAGTGGCCTGAAGAGTACAAAGAAGTCCCATATGCCCTTCACCCAGCTTCCCCTAATGCTAAATTTTACATAAAATAGTACAGTATCAAACTGAGAAATGAGCGTTGGTGCTATTCTGTTGACTAAACTGCAGACTTTATTTGGATTTTACTCATTTTCCCACCAGTGTCCTTTTTCTGTTCCTGGGTCCTACGCTGTGTTTGGCAGTCTTTTCTCGCCAGTATCCTCCAATCTATGACAGTTTTTCATACTTTTCTTTTATTGCCCTGCTAGGTTGAAGAGCTATTTCCCAAATTCCGTTGCTTTTGGTGTGTCCCTCCATTTGGGGTTTATCTGGTACTTTCCCATGATTGGATTGTGACTGTGTGGTATTAGCAGGAGCACTCTTCTCAGTGAATCATGTAGGGCTCTGTGACATTGGTGTGTTTTATTCCTGGTGACATGGTCTTTGGTTATTTGGTTAAGGTGGTATCTGCTATATTTGTCCCTGGAAAAGTTACTGTTTTTCTCTTTGTAATTAAAAATACCTTGGAGGAGATGCTTTGAGACTATGCAAAATTTTGTTATTCCTCAGATTTTTGCCACTGATTTTAGCATTGGGGTGTAGCAATCATTAATACACTGTCCTAATGGCCACTTTATATTTCCTTCATTTCTTTTATATTTTGCTTCTAATGGCTTTTTAACCAATGGTAATATCATAAAATATAGTTTGTCAGTATTTCATGTCAATAATACGGTATTTATTGAGCACCAATTATAATCTAGGTACTGTTCTCTCATAGGATATGAGAAGGAAGAAAACAGTCAAAAATCTTTGTCTCTGGAGAATAGCAGTAAAAGATACTAAACATAATACGTAAGAAAATAGCAAGGTAGATTAGAAGGTAAGAGATGTCAGAGAAGAAAATAAAGCAGGGTGAGGAGGTAGGGAATCAGTACTCAGGAAAATATTAAAACAGTTAAAATATCTGCACCAGACATTTTCAAATGTAGTAGCAGGCTGTCCTGACAGAACGTGTATCAGACATTTGCTGCACACGGAGCATTTGTCTACTGTCCATTGTTGTGGGGAGAGAGGAGAGAGAAGGAAGCAGAAGACACAGGTCATGTTCCCCAGGAGCCTGGAGTCTGAACCACACGCTTCCTCCTTCCTCCTCTTGTTCCCTTGGAGTTTATCGTAAACTCAGCAGCTGCTTATTCGTCCATACAGCATGCGTTCAGTTCCTGCTTTAAAATCATCCACTCACATCACTACATAGGTACAGGTTTCTATCCCATGTTGGCTCCTCCTGCCCAACTTCTTTGTGTTATTTTTCCTATCAGAGGTGGGGGTGGGGGGGACAATCCTCCATAGTTAGACTTTGTCAGTCTCCTACAATCAACATTGTAGAATTGTTAAATCTTCTTAGGGACCTTGGAGGTGATCGAGTATAGTTGTTCTCTTTGGCCAGTGAAGAAATGGAACCAAGGAAGTGCCATGATTGCTCAGATGATATTGTCTTTAATGCCGGAGACAGGGAAGACTCTGGTCTGGGACTCACACCATGTTACCGCACAGTCGGAAGCTCTTGGATCTTTTCATGATGTTGGCAACTGAACACCCTTGTGTCTCTGATGCAGGTGGTCAACAGAGGGGACCCCTATCCTCAGGAGGTAGGCGCCACTGTCCACAAAGTCATGGAGAGGCTGGGTTACTCCAACCCCTACCGCCTGGTTTGGCAGTCCAAGGTAGGTGGCTTTCACACATTTGCAGTCCGCCCTCAAGATCATCTGGTTCAGGACTTAGCTATAAAATGATTCAGTTCGGCTCGTCCACATAGATAGACTGCTCTATGACCTGCTTGCTCATCCTGAGCAGAAAGAATTCACTGAGTGAGTAAGATAAAAGATAAAAGGAAATCAAAGGATTAGTTGAGTTCTATTGGCTTAATATTTTATTTTTAATTGTAACGGCAGACTGTTATTTACTTATTTATGTGCTCATCCTCCTTTCTCATAGGTTGGTCCAGTGCCCTGGTTGGGTCCTCAAACAGATGAGTCTATCAAAGGACTTTGTGAGAGGGGGAGAAAGAATATCCTTTTGGTCCCAATAGCATTTACCAGTGATCACATCGAAACGCTGTACGAATTGGATATCGAGTACTCTCAAGTTTTAGCCAAGGAGGTGAGCACTCCCATCTGGCTTATTAAGCCCATTGTGATCTGTTTTAAAAGGAAAGTTTCTCTACAGCCATCTGTCATTCAAAAATATTGTTTGCTGTATGTGATTGCAAATACTCCAGCCTCATTGTTTTAAATAATGCTTCATCTGTGTGATAGATACTCGGAGTTACTTCTGGTGTTACTTTTGTGCCTTTTTAAACCAGGTCGCCCAGGGATCATTTTGTTTAGTTAAGATGATTGTAGTATGTGAAAATAATAACAGCTGCATTCCTTTAAGAAAAGTGAATTATAAACATTACCTATTCTGATAGAAAATTTTTCCCTGCTCCATAATTCCTTTTCTTTACCAATATGGTTGTATCATTTACTTAGGCTATTCTACTGTTTCTGTTTGGATTTCAGGGCATATAGGGCTTGTTGTCATTTCAGAGAAGAGCACGGAATGAACAAGAAGCAGAGTGTGTTGTGATTTCCTTGACCTCTTTTATGCACTCACTTAATTAGCTGTTTGCTACCATGTTGTGATCAATCTGATTATTGAAATAATACCACCTTGGTATCTCATAAGATGGATGTTCAGGATGGAGAAAAACTATTGCTTACCTATCTCATGGCTTCTGAGGGATGGCCTGAAAATTGTGTCCAATTTATAGTTGTTTCTGTGAGATTGTGGAAGCCTGGGGACTCAGAAAGCCCCTTCTCCCTCTCATCTTTGGCCAGAATTCCTGGTCATCCCCATTGACAGAGGCCTGGCCATGCAGAGCACTGTAAACCCTCGGAACTGGGTGGCAGGTGCTGGGCATGGTGGAGAGTGGATGGGGGCAGAACATTAGCCAATCCCCAGCCTCATTATTTGTGTATACATTGCTGGTCTCAACATCCAGGAAGGTAAGAAGGTTCTAAACTTGCTCATCCACAATTAAGAAGAATTTGCAGGCAGGCAGATTGTAAGTGACCAAGGTGAGGCATTGACATTGCTTATGCATTTCGTTTGATGATTCTTCTGTATCCCATGATCACGTGGGCCAATTGTGCACTTGATAAAAAGACTTCAGTGAAAATATGGTTCATACCAGTGTGTTTGGAAAGCAAGTTTTTGTCTGTACTGAATGACAATCTCATCCATTCATATTACTTAATAACCAAAGCAATTATTAGTAGCTAATAAATTAGTCCCTATATTGATTAAAGAAAACCAACTAAACTATAGTTTATTTCATTATTTTTATGGCAGAATACAGTATGTTTAAAATAACTAACTTCAAAAAGTTTTAAAAATTCCCCCTAAATAGAAATTACTTTATTGCTTTTTGATAATAAAAATAATGAAGATCTTAGCACAGAGAGTTGTATGGCATAGAGAATAGAATGCACTCATAATCTTACTCCAAGAGAGAACATCTATTCATATTTTGATAAAGATACGTCCCTTTTTCTCCTAATAGGTAAATATGTATTTTAATAAAACTAGGTTTCTTGTTTCTGCTTGTTTAATAGAAATGCTATTTATTCATACTGTTTTATAATTTTTTTTCTTTAAAAATGTATATTATGAACTCATTAGTAAATATAATTAGATCTCTAATTATTTTTATAGAGATTAATATCCATTTTATAGAGATTAATATATATTTAAGGCATTTTTAATTTTTATTCTCATACACTACTGTAGAATAAATGTTTTCATTTTTTCAGTTATTTTCTTTGGATAAGTTCCTAGAAAGGATGGCAGTGCTGACATTCCTCTCAGTTTTCCTGAAGATGTGCCTGACTGTCCTTCAGCAGTGAGGGAGGCTGTCCTCCGCCAGCACTGGTCATTCTGCTGCGACTGACTTTGGCGTGAGGTTTTAGGATCAGCCTCTTCAGCGGAGAGCGAGGTTTTTGCCTGGAATCTTACTGAATTCTTGTGCCCATCTTCAGATGTTAATGCCAGTCTAACACTGAAGTGACCCATGAGCTCATCAGCAGGAAAAGGGAAAGAAAAGAGCATGACTACCCCCAGCGCATCACTGTTAGACAGTTCTCAGTTATTTGGGGGATAGTTAAACACTGGATGTTTTTGGACAGGGAAAAGAAAGGTGATACTAAAATAATACTCAGGTTAATTTTTTTTTTCTGTAGGAATATGTTTAGAATCTAAACCATATGGATCCAATCTAGACCCAATATATATCTTTTTAAAATATATATATATATATAATTTAGTCGTAGTTGGACACAATACCTTTATTTTATTTATTTATTTTTATGTGGTGCTGAGGATCAAACCCAGAGCCTCTCATGTGCTAGATGAGCACTCTACCGCTAAGCTGCAACCCTAGCCCCCCCAATATATACTTTAGAGTTCATAAATTAATTTCCTTCATTTTGGCACTTGAAATGGAAGCAAGTAGGAAATTTTACTTAATTAAAACAACATTCTGGGGCTGGGATACAGCTCAGTTGGTAGAGTGCTTGCTTTGCATGCACAAGGCCCTGGGTTCAAACCCCAGCACCAAAAAACAAAACAAACAACATTCTATTTAGGTAGAGACAGTAAGAGTATGCATTAGAAAAGTGGAATCAAAGAAATGGTTAGCAGATTTAAATTACTTGAGAATTCCATCAAGGAGTATCTCAAACATGGTTTGGAAGCAAACCACCTTTGGGAAGGAAATGGGGTAGGGGAAAACATAGAAATTGAAGAGTAATTTATGATAAGAATCAATCTATGTGCCCTCTCCCTGTGTGTCACTTAACACTGGAAGTCAGGCTGTGAATTGTGTGTGCATGCGTTTGTTTATTTTTTTTGTTAGCAGTCAGTTTCTTAAAAACAAAAAAAATGAAAATAAAACATGTCTGTGTTTTTCCTCCCCTTTCTCATTTGATTCAGTGTGGAGCTGAAAACATCAGAAGAGCGGAGTCTCTTAATGGAAATCCATTGTTCTCTAAGGTATCTGCAGTGTTACAACCATTTTAGTAGAACATTCCGGGGAGTAATCCTCTGAGAAACTCTTGCAGAATATTGGTTTTCTCACATATTAGAACATTTGGAGTTCCAATTAATTACAAAAATAAGATCGAATCCCTCATTCACTCCCTCCTTTCTCCTTTCGGTAGCCCCCATTTTCTTATGTCTGCCCACCATAACTATGTCTAATTTAAAATTTGCTTTTCAGAGGAAAGGTAGAGTGGGTGGGGTAAGAGGATTCATTTTCTAAAATCTTGATTTTAACTTTCCTTAAACTGAGGAAGCTCAGTAAAGGACAGTGTTACAGAATTCAGTTCAAGGGCTGCACAACTCCAATTAAAAGAAGCCCAGATAACCAGAGCAGTCATGCAGACAGACAGGGAGGTGGGCGTCCCGGGGCCAGGGGACTCTTCACTCCTGATGGCTCTGTGCTCCTTGTGTGTCTTGCAGGCCCTGGCCGATTTGGTGCTCTCTCACATCCAGTCCAACAAGCTGTGCTCCAAGCAGCTGACTCTGAGTTGTCCACTCTGTGTAAATCCTGTCTGCAGGGAGACTAAGTCCTTCTTCACCAACCAGCAGCTGTGACCCTGCTAGAGGAGCCCGTGGGATTAGGCAGATGGCCAACATCCAGACACCACTGTGTGGAGGGGATGCTGTTCAGAGATTGGAAAGAAGCCATTTTAGTGGATACACAGCCTTTGGGCACAGACTGTGTGATTTGCTGAGGAATGGACTCTGAAATCCTTACTGAAGGACTTGTATTTTCATAAACCTGTATCAGTAGCATTTGTACTCCCTCTTTCTGGGTAAACTTGCTAGTTTGTAACATCCCCTATGACATTAAAAAATGAGTTTAAAAATTTATCTGATGCGATACATACCAATTTAAAATATGTGAGATCGGTTTATAGCCTTGTGCATACAGGTTTTTAAATGCATATAGTTGAGTTTATGCAGTATCATTTGAAAAAGCAATATTAGCTAAACCTTCCCTAAACCCATAGGTTATGCAACGTCTCTGAGATGGTTGGGTTTCCTTCCATGGTTGCCATTGCTAGTGAGGCCACCATTTTTTGGTCATGTAGGTGTCTGCATGAGAATCTCTCTCCACCCTGAAACTGAATCAAATGCAAATTTCAGAAGTGTTCTGAGATTCCCTAAGCACATAAGGCTAATAAATGTGTAGAAATCAGTGTTTGGCATATCTGCCTTGGTTTGAATCCATGGTGCCTTAGGGAAGGGGACTTCCGCTGCTTCCTGTCTCTGAGGACATTGCTGCCAGGAAACACTGCTGATGGGCTCCCTCTTGAAATCTCCCTGGAGCCTTTCCAGCTGGTATCTTCTTGATCTTGGTTGAATGTCTCCTTTCTGCACATTTAAGAATTATTTTATCAAGTTGACTACATTTTGTAACCTTGGATTCTTTCTTCATTGATAATTTTATTATAGAAATATATAGCCATAGAACAACTGAAAAATACAGAAAGGAGAAATAACCCCTCGAATGCAACTACTATTATCATCTTATTGTATTTTATGCTAGTCTTTTCCTGTGGATATTTTCAATGCCATTGTCACCTTGAAGTGGTGAGTGAAAAGTTATTCTAAAAATGTAGAAATAATATTGGATCAGAATCTGATCTTCTATAGTTGGATTTATATGGCTTAAAAACTCTGATGGATCTATGAAGCATTTGTACTGATCACTTTTTCTTCCTCCAAGCCCCCAAACTTTGTTCTTCAAAAGAGCATTTCTTTGATTATTTTTAAAAAGCCAGTTCATAAAATGGAAGTGATTAGGGGATTCATAGATCTTCTATATTCAGGATTTGCTGTTAATAAATATTATGACATCATTAAAGTTTTAACCAGTTTGATCCATGCTGTCTGTTAAAATTGATCAAAATGATTAAATATGAGGAATTTACTTTGTAATACAGAGAAAGATATACACCAACTGCTCAAATCGTTTTCCTATACTGATAATGGCCCTCAAATTTGAGTAACATCTAACACTTTCATTTCCAAATTGTCTTTTTTATTCGCTGGAGGTTTCTAGGGAAAGATAGAAGGTATAGATATTGAGAATTTCCTGATATCTTTTTCTATCACCTTTTTAGGGATTAGGTTCAAAGCAGACTGTGAGTGACTGTCCTACGGTGGAGTGAATTCTCTGGGTAGTAATGCTACCTGGTGTTGGAAGGCAGCTTCCCTCATAGCCTTTCTCCCTCCTTCAGGATACTGGCTGATGATCTGTGTCACTCCTTCAACTGCTTTAAAGGTGAAAATATATTACTATGGAGATGTAGAAAGTTTTGACACAGGGGACCCGTGCTAGGGCATCTGAAGCCCCTCATTTGCTAAGGAAACTGCAGATCTGATTATCAGATCAGCACTGACTGTGCTGTTTGGAATAATATTCTTAGTACTGAGCTGGAAGCAGGTCGGCCTGTATAGTGAGAGGCCAGGTGGTTTGGGATCACCGCCCATGGCATTTGTTGCTTTAATTGTTATCTTTGACTCTTAACCATGAATGCATAAGAGCCATACATGGATGTAGAATTTGGTAGGACAAAATCTCCTTAGAGATAATAGTCTTTGAGGCTTGTTATTCTGTTTGTCAACTTTGAAGTACAAATGTTTGCCCTGGTAATTTGCAATGAACTGAAGGCAGTTTCTTCAAGCTGTGCTATGTACTGACCTGGCTTTTAATTGATGAGTCCACTTCTATAGAGTACTTGCAGGGGGCTGCATTGGTGAGGCAGGTTGGCTTACCTGGACAATTCAAAGGACCAGGATCACATGGTGTAGAGAGGAGGAAAGAGCTCTACTAAAAAAAAAAAAATGCATTAAAGGAAATTTTTGCATTGAGAAATTAACCCTTGAAGTGTGTATCAATGGTGAATTGATGCTGAATAAATAGTAAAAATCCAACATTTTTTCCTGATTTTAACTCAGAATATACATCCTTCTTTAAGCAATCCCATGATCCAAATGAAATGTTTCTCTAGGATTCTGTTAAAACTTCTTTTTATGGCTGAAATTAGATAGTGATGATCAGGTATAAAGAGAAAGTGGACCTGTAATCCCAGCGGCTCAGGAAGTGAAGGCAGGAGGAGCCTAGCAATTTAGTGAGGTGCTAAACAACTCCGTGAGACCCTGTCTCTAATAAAATACAAAATAGGCTGGGGATGTGGTTCAGGGCTCAAGTGCTCCTGAGTTCAATCCCCCGTTTCCAAAAAGAAAAAGAAAGTGGAATTTTCTTCTCCCAGTTGCCCAAACTGAGCCTGCTATAAGGTACATTGTATCAACAACCCGTAAGTAATATCAGGCCATTTAGATTCTTAGCCGATCTTTAAAATTTGTTTTTTTTTTAAATGTTTTTATTAGTGCAGTATGTCTATGCTCCTTGGTTTCTTTAGCAGGGAAATATACTGATATAATGGGACAGGTCACTTAGAATAAAATCACTACCTTAGTTTTTCTCAGGTAATCTATTCCCATAATTTGGATATTCCATTTAAGAAACCATAATTTAAGGCACATGCAGAAAAATGTTTGCTCAATCTGATACCATTAGATTTATCCAAAATAACATTATGACACCATGAGGTAAGACCATTGAGGTATTCAAATGTTATAGGAAATTATCTGTGGGGCCATCAGTAAGACCTGCAGCATGGGTGTAGATGATCCCATGGTGTTTGCAGCCCTGGGGACTCTACTGTGTTTGCTCTTCTGTTCTATGGGTGGGCACAGACACAGCAAGGGGCCGCATTGTGCAGCTACATGGAGAAAGCAGGCGTGTGTGTGTGTGTGTGTGTGTGTGTGTGTACATGCTTCTCTGACCTCTTCACCTGGCTGGGAAACCCTTTTGGTCAGGATCCTGAAAAAGGCCCCAAAACGTGCTTCCCAAAATAAGTAAAAAAGGGAAATTCATTAAGCAGGAAAATAATTCTGAGTTGGCCCTGAAACTAGAGCTTTCTGTTAAAATTATGCAGTTCAGCCAGGCATAGTGGTATACTCCTGTAATCCCAGTGACTCAGGAGGATGAGGCAGGAGAATTGCAAGTTAGAGGCTAGCCTCAGCAACTTAGTGAGACCTTAAGTAACTTAGCAACACCCTGTCTTGAAATAAAAAAATAACAATAAGGCTGAGGTTGAGGCTTAGTATAGAGCGCTTGCCTACACGTGTGAGGCATTTGGTTTGATCTTCAGCACCACATAAAAATAAAGTTTAAATAATAATAATAATAATAATAAAGGCTGGGGATGTGAATCAGTGGTAAAATGTTTCAGAGGAAGATGAAAGCTAATCATTTCTTTCATTTCTAGAAGTTATAAAATTAAAAACATTTAATTAAGGTCATGTCGCAGAAAGGCTTTGCAATTATTATTCACAGGAACTTTATTGTAATTGTCTGATAATTTTAGAGATTCCTTTATAACAAGCCCTTTCATGAACTCCTCCTGGAACAGATAATTTTCTATATTACATTTGAATTTCATTTTATAGAGACTAATAAATGATTTCAGAGTATATATGTCAAATAGATTAAAACTGAATGTTGGTATGACTCAAGAAACCTGAATTCTGCTTGGATCAATGCCAGTTTAAATACTTAATCATATCATAATTATGTTGAGGTCTCATGTGCTTCACTTATAGCATTCCTTGCTAATTCAAGCAGTGACATCTACAAAGCTTTGATCTATTTTTTTGCCAGGCTTCCTCCAGTTAGACAGTTGTGTTATATGTCTGTGATCTGACTTTTGCCTTAAAAGTTGTTCTTCTTTCAAAATGCACTTATTTGGGAAATCGTAAAATGTGCAGAGCTACGTAGCACAGAGCCAAGTGCTGGGTGCTGGGGTGTTCAAAGGAAGGAAGCTGATGTGCCCTCACGTGTTGAATGGCAGACACCGAGCAGGCGCAGGTGGTGCACCCTTGAGCTTGGTGAGTCTTGGGAAGAGGCGCTCTGGGGGCAGCTGCCTCTGGAGAACACATTTGTAATATTCTCGGGTCCCAGGAGAGGAAGAGATGGTTTTGCTTTTGATGTGGAAATCTTATTAAGGCTTTCTACAGGGAAAAGGAAGTGGAAAACAAATGCACCCATGATAATCAGTTTCTTATAACATTCTTTGGTAATACTGGCTTGGTTGTTTTTAGTGGAAATCATTAGCTTCCATTTTTAGTATAATAGCAACTATTGGCTAAATTAGTCTATAGGAGGCCATTAAGATGGATGTTGGAATTAAAAACATTTTTGGAAGAAAGCCTGGTCTGAGCCTTTGTTATAAGCCCTCGGGCAGGGACCTGGGTCCTGTTCCTGTTCCTGTTGTCACTCTGACACTTCATTTCCAGATACACATTCTTAGTGACTTGCTCCCGGAAGAAAACCAGAGCACACAGACCAGCTTCTCCCCTTCCAGTCTCTTTATGAGTCAAATATTTACTTTCCTGTCATGTTAAGAAATGGTAGATTTATTTTACCTTGAGCATTTGTGATATATTTTATCTTTTTCTTATTTAAAAGGAGCTTCTAGATGTGGGATGGAGTTGACTACATGCTGTGTGCTGGCTTTTATTCTCCATTTTTAACTACAACAGTCATTATATGTTTATCTGTTATCTGACTTTTGCCTTACATGTAACATTTACATGTAACAGTTATATTAGAAGCAAAGGTATGTCAGGCATGGTGGCACACGCCTGTAACACCAGCGGTTTGGGAGGCTGAATGGTGAGTTCAAAGACAGCCTCAGCAATTTAGTGAGGCCTTAAGCAACTTAGTGAGGCCCTAAGCAACTTAGTGAGATCCTGTCTCTAAATAAAATATGAAAAGGGCTGGGGATGTGGTTCAGTGGTTCAATCCTCAGAACCAAAAAAGAGAGAGGGGGGAAGGGGGAGAGGGAGAGAGGGAGGGAGGGGGGAAGGAGGGAGAGAAAAGCAAAGATAGCACTCAAAACCCACCTCTTCATAATTATTTTACGGCATAATTGTTTAGTTGATTATCTACACTTATGAAAGTGATGAACAGAGTGTTAATGTGATTTAAAAATGTGGCCATTGCATCACGAATGGCACCAACACATGAGTAAACATTCCTCTAATGTTTGAAAACTATTATCCAGTTTAGCCAAGTGACTTTTTGGGGGGATGATGGGGCACTGGGGATTGAACCCATGGGGAAGCTTTACCACTGAGCTACCTCCACAACACTTTTTATTTTTTATTTTGTGACAGGGTCTTGCTGAGTTGCTGGGACGGGTCCTGACCTTGTGATTCTCTTGTCTCAGTCTCCTGAGTTGCTGGCATCACGGGGATGTGTGCACCACCATGCCTGGGTAGCCAGGTGATGTTTGATGTACAAAGGAGTTGTTTGGTGTTTGTGTTACTCCTTAATGAAAATGAAAACATCAACATTCATGTCAAAGTTCTATTTATTTTTTTAAAAAAATTTTAATTGTAGATGGACACAATACCTTTCTTTTATTTGTTTATTTTTATGTGGTACGGGGGATCAAACCCAGTGCCTTAGGCATGCTAGGCAAGTGCTCTACCACTGAGCCACAACCCCATCCCCAAAGTTATATTTGTTGCTCAGTTGTAACCATAGATTGTCTGCAGATGCAAGAGCTTGGTAAAAATGAGCAAAAGTATGCTTTGAGAATCAATTGACTCTATGGGATATGTAGGATATAGTATCTTTTATTATTCTTTGTAGATTTTAGACCAGTGGCATTTATAATAAACATGTACTCACTCACACATGTGTGTATAGATTATTTTTTCAGATTGCTGGTTGTTGACATTTCCCAGCAAACCACTGCCCTCTACGATACTTCTCCAGGATGCTGGAGATGACACCTACAGATTG